GTACGATCAATGATTTTTAAGAAATTCATTGATTTATCATATGTAAGTTGTACCATGTAATGTCTGAAATAATGGAAATAATATGTCTCCCCCGCCTTAAATTTACTATTTGTACCCTCAGAAACAACCCCAAATGCATAAAAAATTTTTTGGAGCGATTTTTGACTGGAGCCCCAATTCTAAATAATTACCAATATTTCTGCTAAAAAGATAAACTTTTTATGATACATAAATATTTTATTTACATTTTAAAAGTATTATTATTTGAATTAATTTTTACTCCAAAATAATTTCATTTCAAAACATTTGCGCTTTCAAATCATTTTTGACTCCAATTTAAGTTAAATAATAAAAAGGGAAAAATTTCAGGACGAATATATCTAAAAAAAACAAACATTTTAATATATAAGTATTCTTGAAATGTTCTTGAGATATTTATTATTATGTTATTGACAAATAATCAGGTGTGACTGAATCCTTCTTCTTCCTTTCCGGTGTCAAACTTGAATGATAACTCTAAATTGTTTTATAAAAACTATTTTATCGATAATTGTAAAAGCCACTTCAACTATATGCAATTGTATTGATTGCACTTGCATGCAATCATATAAAAAAAACGGTTAAAAATATTCATTAAAAAATAATTATTGAATATCTTGTACTTTTTTAAAAAATTAAACATTATTTATTTATTTATTTTATTTTTCAATAATAATAATAAATAATAAAATAGACAAATAAAATTGATTAAGTTAAAATGATTACTATAATAGAAAACAATAGATATACATGTTACATACATTGTTTTAATTAATTTTTTGAAATAATTAAAATTTTGTTTTGTTTTTTTATACGCTAACAGAATCAACGGTTAATGAGGAAAATCTTATTTTTTTTTTTTAATACTGAGTCGCAGATCGTTTGATCTAGAAACTGTTACCATACATTAAAAATTAAAACTACATTTATTCTTTGTAAATTAGCTAAAAATGTGTCCTTATATAATTTATAAATAAATTTGCAATACATTGTTAAAAAAAAATAATTCCTTTTCTTTTCATCATTAATAAAAAGTACTCAAAAAAAATAATTTAATGGACATATTCAATTCAGCATGTTAATTTGAAATTATTATTATAGTTAGCTTTCATCTTCTCAGTTATTATATCACATAGAACGATTTGTTTAGTTTCCCAAAAATCCACATTTTTGCTTAAATTTCAATTAATTAATTTAATTATAATTATTTTATGACATTTGTGGAATTTCAAAATTTACACTAAGATTTGCCGAATGAGCTAATTTTACTATAGTTGATAATTTGACTGCAACTCTCGCTGCTTCATCAAGATCATCAACTGGAACAATTTTCAATCCAGCATTGGCAATCAAAGCTTTCGCCTCATCTACGTTTGTTCCCTAAAATAATAATAATAATAATTAAAAATAAAATAATAGAGCTTGATAATCGAAATTAATATAAAATTCTTACTTGGAGCCGAACAACAACAGGAATTTTGAGGTCAAGCTCTTTTGTAGCAGCAATAATTCCTTCAGCAATAACATCACATCTCATAATACCACCGAAAATATTAACAAGTAGAGCATGCACCTAAATAAATAAATTATTAGAATAATTTTAATTGAATAAAAGTAAAAATCTAAAAAATAGTTGAGTAATTTATACCCTTGGATCGGACGTAATAATTTTAAAAGCTTCTTTAACAGCTGAGGTAGTAGCTCCGCCACCAACATCAAGAAAGTTGGCTGGTTCTCCACCATGTAATTTAATAATATCCATGGTAGCCATAGCGAGACCTGCTCCGTTTACCATACAGCCAATATTTCCATCTAGAGCAATATAATTGAGATCAAACTTGGCCGCTTCAACTTCTTTAGGATCTTCTTGACTCCAATCACGAAGAGCGAATAGATCTTTCTGTCTAAACTCTGCGTTGTCATCAAATCTACACTTGCAATCGAGGGCAAAATCTGCAATTAAATAAAGATATATTTTTTAAAAGTTGATATTACTTAATCAACTATTTATCTTAGTCTATATTATGATAACACTAAAAATTATTATTACAATTTCCTTGAATGTCTTCAGCTAGAGGATTAACTTCAAGTAAAAGAGCATCCTTTTTGACAAAAAGATCATATAAATTGAGAATAATATTAGCGATATAATCTTTGACATGTTCTAGACCCAGTTTCTCAGCTATACGACCAGCTTGTTCTTTTGTAATGCCTTTATTGATGTCAATAGGTTCATACATGATAACATCAGGGTTTGTTGCAGCTACTTCCTCAATATTTACACCGCCTTGACTTGAAGCAATAATAACTGGGCCCTAGATAATTCATATAATTAGATCTATTAAATACTGATTTCTATCCATTGATTCTCTTCATTTACTTTTGCTTACTTACTCCAAAAGCTCGTTCCATCATCACTGCAAGATAATATTCTTTACGAGGGAACATTCTTTGAGCTACCATGACTGCATTGCAGATTCTGCCTCCCTCGCCAGTTTGTTTTGTAATTAATAATTTTCCTAGCATTCCAGCAGCTAAGGTTTTGGCTTCTTCTGGTCTGTATTACAATATAAAATACATAGAAACATTTCTTGAATCATCAACTTATCATTCAGAAACATTTACTACTTACGTTTCACACATTTTGACACCACTTAAGGAACTATCTTTAAAATGTCCTTTGCCTCGTCCTCCAGCCAAAACTTGTGCCTTGAGGACGATATCCTTAGTATTAAGTTCAGCAGCAAATTTAGCTGCTTCATCAGGAGTTCGTGCAACTCCAAATTTAGGAGTTGGAATACCAGCTCCATTAAGTAAAGAATAAGAAATATGTTCATGAACATGTAAATTTCTAACGGTTTGTTTTGTTACGCCATTTGTTCGTGAGAGAATCTATCAGATAAAAAAATTCTATTAATATTCTGTAAAAATAAGAAATAGTTTAGAATACGTCATTGATTATTGACCTTCGTATTATTAGATATCAATGGTTTTCTGACGCCACCGCGTAAGTAAATTTTTACAAATTTTCAATTTATTATGTAAATCTATTTAAAATTTACTTATATTTCAAATAGAGTATCAAGTGGAAAGTACAATACTTGATTATACGAAATATTAATTTTTTAACAAAAAGGATAAATAAATTACTTAGGTTTTTCTATTTTCTGTAAAGTAATCATTTTCGAGATACGCGGTTACATGAGAAAACCATCGATTTGACAAAAATTATAAATGAAACTGATGAGAAGGTTAGAAATATAATTTTCATATTTATATTTATATTGATTTTTATATTATATTTAAATATTAAGGGAAAGTAGTCTAGCTCAAACCACGTGTAAAATTACAAGTAAACACGTGGGTTAAGGTAGTCTAATTGTCTTCTCTAGGGCTGAATATGATTTTTCGTCATACCTGCGTGAAAAGTTCAACCCCTCTCCAACGGAAAAGTGAACTTTCCGTGCGGGTATGACGAAAAAACTATGTTTTTGAATATATATGAATTTTATAAGTTGTACAGGTGGTTACACGTGATATAAACTCAAGTTTTTATAAAACTATAATTTAGAGTCATCAAATATGAAACTACCTAAGTTTTACAAAAAGATACAATAGATAGTTATGATGATATTTAATTAAACGAGTGAGATCATTGTTACATAGATAATGAAATGGAATAATGCACCAAAATCGTAGCTTACTGGATTTTAGAAAAGAAACGTTGAAAACTAAATTGGGATGAATTTTAACGTATATGCCATTAGGAAGATTTTATTTTAAAAGAGATTGATTTAAATAAGAATTTAGAAGCGCAAGGACCATTTGATGTCTTCCTACACAAACTTACAGATATATTAGTTTTTGCTAAAAGTGACGATCATAATCTGGTATCTATCTTATCTATCCAAACTTGCCTTTTTTTAATATAAAAAGATTCTTCATCATAATGTTTTACTTTTGATATTATTGGAGGATCATTTGTCGATTCACTTTGGAAATGGCTGTAGTTATTGAACTTCCGGATATTAATTTAGAACCGTTATTCAATGACACAGATTCTATATGGACATCATAAAAATGAATAGAAGAGACAAATGCTCTTACATATCAGTGGAATAATAGTGTTAGTAACAATATCCTTTTATGGCCAATTGGCATCGATTCTAAAAATATTGTCATTCGTAAACTTTCATATTGATTAAAACTTTTCTTTTATACAGATATATATATATATATATATATATATACATAGGAATAAATATAGGTATTAGTTATTTGGACCACGTTGGAATCCAAACATTCCAAGATTTGCAGCAAACTTAGGATTTACGCCACTGGAATTTAATTGTTATCATTGCTATTTAATTGATTTATCATTGACTGAAACTCTTCTTAATTCGCGAGTTTCAGCCGCGCTTAACTTCTTATCTATTACAGATAGGAAATAAGTCATGAATGCTTTTTTTGTGTAAAATTGCATTTTGAACAATTTAAATTCCTCGGGTCGTTTACAGTCGTAAACTCTCATATTGATTATAACTTTTCTTTTATACATGTATATAAATATAGATATTAATTATTATTTAACTTAAGATTGAGATTTACAAAAAAACTCGACTTTTGAATGAAAAATTATGGTATTCATTTTGTATTACGTCCTAAATGACACATTCTTTTCATTCTTCATTTAATAATGAGTTTTTAAGCACAAATATCAAGTCTGGACTACGCTATTTTCTTGTCATTGTACAATTTAAATTTATATAAAATTAATCACTTAAAGTTATGTATGGCAAATGTGAAAAATAGCTTTAATTTAATATTTACGTTATAAATAAATATAAATGATCTAAAATATTTTGTATACAAAATGAATGTAATAAAAATGAATTTATTAATAAACACATAATATTGTAAATGTTAATGCATTTTTATTTAATAAGTGAAAACTTCTAATAATGTTAAGTTTGTATAAATTGTTGGAGCAATGTTATTTTCAATGAAACGAAATCATTCATGAAAACAAAGGTACATTTAGGTGATTTATTAATGCAGTTTGACTGGAATTTTAATTTTACAAAGTATTATAATTTTGTATCTTTGTAATTCTTCAACGTCCCGTCACTGAATACCTGGGAAATCCCTCATTGACGTACAATTTTGTCTTTACTTTGAAGATTGCTTACTCTAACAATGCAGCCTATGTTTGCTTAAAGAAAACATTATCAATTGTCTAATGCCAGCACAGTATGGGCTACTGGGACTACCCAAATCGGGCCTGCGACTGAGTACCTGGGTCTCGTATTGTAACTTTCATTAGGGATCTTACAGTAAAACCAAGAACAGAATCGTCTGAATTTCCTACCCAATAGAAATAGATAGCATTTCAAGTTAATTTTCACCATAGTATTTTACTCCATGGATATTCTGCTACAGTAAAAATCAATTTGAGATTTCATCTTTGGGAAATGTAATCTTTAGAAAACCTCCTACTGCCAACATGAATAAAGTTCAATAGAATGTATTAAAAAACAATCAAGACCAAAGATAGTTTTAGAAACTGGACCTCAATTAAAAGTTCTTGATAACCATCAAGTTTTTCGTGTTGGAAACCGAATTAATCTCAGGTGCAAAAAGCAGCTCTAGTGTTGATGAAGGTGGCTGGAACAGTGTTCGTAACGACAGAAATCGGCAATCAGATTATTCATCAATTAAAACAACAAAATTAAATGTTAAACCACCAGCAGCAGAAGAGACAACTTTTGGAAGTAGATCTTCATTCATTTTCAATCAAACTGCGGAAAAAAATTCATTTGTAGTGGCTCCAAATAGATATGGAGACATAGGAGATCATCAATAGCTTCATCTGATCCACCAAAGGAATTCAGACCTGAGTTTAAACCCTCGTGGACACGTTAGTTAAAATTACTTTTACAATTATTATAATGAAGATCAAACAATCTATCATTATGTTTAATCATCAATCATTATTTTTCTCTTAGATGGTTCCAGCTCACGAAGTGAGAATCAACGAGTCAGTTTAGATCCAACGCAAACTCGTGACAGTTTATCAATACCTTCACCAGTCTTCGCAAGCAGAACACCAACCCCTCCAACACTATCATCATCCACATTTATACCGATAAGTAGGACACCTACTCCTCCATTAACATCATCTTCATCGATAGATAATCGAAACAGTAACCTACCAGTCGATGAAAAGAAACTAAGAAATCTGGTCAAATCACTTCTTGATGAATCTAGCTCGAGTGATGTAAACTTATTTATGAAGGTAACTATATAATTTTGTCTATGTAAATTTCTAATCAATTAAAAAAAAATTGATTATGTAATTATTCAATATTTGTAAAATGTTTACAGAATGCTCAAGAAACAATTGAAGATAAATTTAATACACAGTCCTATCCATTATTGATAGAAGAAGCTCTTAATTCTGTACTTGAGAGAAAATCAGATGGAAAGACAACGAAATGATTGCTATGAATGCTCATCCTTTTATTGAACTAACTCGGACGTTAGCTACTTTAAAAAACACAGGAAAATGTGGTAAACTATTAGGCAAATTATTATCAATATTAGCAAAAGAAAAAACTCCTAAATGGGTTATTGATAATTGGAATCAAAGTGGACTCAAATGGAGTGATTTGATAAATTCTGAATGTGAAAAAGTTGACTTACTTGAAAAGTACAACCTAGAATTTGTAGTTAAAGGCATCAATAATAATTGTGGAAAATTGTCTGAGAACAAGATGACATTAGAACAGATATCAGAATATCTTCTGAAATTATTAAAGGAAGAAAATTTTGACAATATTACAAGTTGGATATCTGTAAGTACTAGTTGTTGAAATAATGGGTTTTGTATCACTATGTTATCTAATTTTAATAATCACTAAAATATTGCATTTTTTTCAGTTGAATGTTGGTCAACAATCAAAACAACCTCAATTTGTCAGATGCCTTGTAACTGACATTCTTAAAACCTCTATTGGTTTGTATTAAATTGACTTATGTTTTTAAAACTTCAATTCTTAGATAACAATTTATTATAAAAGTTGTTTTTTTGTTTATATTTAGAAGCCATTGACGAATCATGGAGACTAAAATCAGAAACGTTTTGCAAGTTATTACCTTTAATAACTAGATATGTTGATGCTAAACGTGATCTAGAACTTCAATGTCTTTATGCTATTCAATCGTACAATCACGAATTAATGTATCCACAAGGTAACTACTTACTCGATTGCATATATATTCATTATTTCACTATTAATATATTTTTTAAGATCAATATCAGTATCTGATTAAATGAATGAATTTTGTTTTTTAGGCATATTATCTAAAATAATTGACCATTTGTGTGACCAATATGTATTGTCAGACGATGCATTCATTGAATGGGGGAAAACTGAAAATCCAAATGAAAGAAATGGACATGCAGTTGCGATAAAAACACTTACATCATTTTTTACTAAACTACGTGAAGCAGAACGCGATGATTCTAGCGAATGAAAAAAAAATTCATTGTGTGTACAAAAAGATTCTGAAAAACTCTGTTATCTGATACAAATTCCATACTATACAAATGAATATATTGTGACGTGTGGCCTCAACTAATGAAATAATTATTAATTTGAAAGCGTGATCATAAATGTAGCATGAATTTATAATTGTCATGAAAAATGCCCGGATGATGAGAAAACTATAACAAACATAGCAGACTTAATAGCAAGAATATTATGCACTCAATATTAGTGTATACATATAATATAAGTTTATTTCATAAGAAAATGTAAACGATGTAAATAGTTTTGCTGTTTAAATGCCATTAAATGTAAATTATATCATAATAATTTCTCTTTTTTTTTTATTATTAAAATCATAACAATCTTACATAAAACGCATCAATAATGACGGTGGAAAATTGTCTGAGAACAAGATGACATTAGAAGAAAATTCCATACCATACAAATAGATATATTGTGCCGTATGACTTCAAATAATTAATTTAAGAAATGAATAATGATAAAAGTTATCATAATGGACATTGCTTGGATAATATACATCTAATCATTCATTTCATTACTCACTTTGTTTAACTGTACAGTACTGCATAGACAAATTTACTGTTGTTTTTAATAAATATTTTTAATCCACTAATTTATGATTCATATCATTCCATTTTTTAGTCTTTCGATTGAATTTCAACGACATCCCTGTCAGATATCAAACCTCTATACTTTAGTTGAAAGCCATTCCCAAAGTGAATCAACAAATAATAATACCTTGATAACAACAAATGATCCTCCAATAATATCAAATGTAAAACATTATGATGAAGTATGTTTTTCATATCAATATTAAAATGATACAATTAATTGCAATTATTTACATTGAAATTTCATTTGGAAAATTATTCAATTCTATATTTGTTTTAACATTTTTAAAATTAAAAGCAATAGATGAAACACATTAGATATTAATAATAAAAACATACTTAATTTTTATTGCAAAGATTCATTAGATTTACCATGTTCTCAAAGATCAATCTCATGAATTTATTGACTCAACTATATGTATTATCATTAATACAATAATATCAATATAATAATAAAGTTTTATTGGAAATTTTCAATTAGAAGTGTATCAAAAACATTAAATTGCCTGAAAATTTTAACATCTAATTCAGAGCATTAATACTTAGAATAAACATTTTTCATAACATTAGAAAATGTAATGTTAGAAAATAAAATAAAATGTTATATGCACTAGACGAACATAAAATTCGATATATCGATTATTAACAAACAAATACTCAACGACATATTTACAATTATGTTATTACAATTCTCTTATATTCTTCTAATTTTTAGTCTATCAAAAATTTACAGAAAAATATCAAGTTTGATGGATAGAAATGCAATACATGAATGTAGATACTAATGGTTTAACTAATAATAGGTTGAAAATAAAAAAATCTTCATTCGTTTTGATTGGTCTGAACACAAGTTTGAAATGAAGCAGGAATTTAACTGGTTTTATTTCACAGGATATTAAGAAATGTTTCCTTAATTTAACCTTTTCCAAACTAGTGTTAAACTTGATAACCTTGTTGTGTCTCAAGAGGTATCTCAAGATTGGTTCCAGTAGCGCAAATCCTAAGTTTGCTGCAAATCTTGGAATGTTTGGATTCCAACGTGGTCCAAATAACTATCCAAATAATTAATACCTATATTTATTCCTATGTATATATATATATATCTGTATAAAAGAAAAGTTTTAATGAATATGAAAGTTTACGAATTACAATATTTTTAGAATCGATGCCAATTGGCCATAAAAGGATATTGTTACTAACACTATTATTCCACTGATATGTAAAAGCATTTGTCTCTATTCATTTTTATGATGTCCATATAGAATCTGTGTCATTGTTTAACGGTTCTAAATTAATATCTGGACGTTCAATAACTACAGCCATTTCCAAAGTGAATCGACAAATGATCCTCCAATAATATCAAATGTAAAACATTATGATGAAGAATCTTTTTATATTAAAAAAAGGCAAGTTTGGATAGATAAGATAGATACCAGATTATGATCGTCACTTTTAGCAAAAGCTAACATATCTGTAAGTTTGTGTAGGAAGACATCAAATGGTCCTTGAGCTTCTAAATTCTTATTTAAATCAATCTCTTTTAAAATAAAATCTTCCTGATGGCATATACGTTAAAATTCATCCCAATTTAGTTTTCAACGTTTCTTTTCTAAAATCCAGTAAGCTACGATTTTGGTGCATTATTCCATTTCATTATCTATGTAACAATGATCTCACTCGTTTAATTAAATATCATCATAACTATCTATTGTATCTTTTTGTAAAACTTAGGTAGTTCCATATTTGATGACTCTAAATTATAGTTTTATAAAAACTTGAGTTTATATCACGTGTAACCACCTGTACAACTTATAAAATTCATATATATTCAAAAACATAGTTTTTTCGTCATACCCGCACGGAAAGTTCACTTTTCCGTTGGAGAGGGGTTGAACTTTTCACGCAGGTATGACGAAAAATCATATTCAGCCCTAGAGAAGACAATTAGACTACCTTAACCCACGTGTTTACTACCTTCGCCTTCGGCTCGGGTTGTAATTTTACACGTGGTTTGAGCTAGACTACTTTCCCTCCCTAGGTGTGAAATGTACTATTTACTTTGACCATTCATACAAAAAAACCAAGAATAATGACCTTACATCCAGAAATATTTACGGCAAGACCAACCCATGAATAACGTGTCCAGATCTGATTTTATTTATAATTTTTAGACATAAACAGTCTCACAATACTGATCTGATCAGACTTGAACTCTGAATTTCTCAGGTAGAACAAAGGAAAATAATGGGCCTTATCCCTCCCACGGACTTTGGGCGTATTCAATTTTTAGGGCATGCGCACAGTGGAACTAGAGTTGGTGGTGACTACCATAGAGCGGAGGTCTTCAGTTTACCCGCAGAAGTGTGTAAGGAACGTCTTGCTTAGACCAACTGTCCACGTCTATACTTTCCGATAAAATCGTACAATATTGAGTTACACAATAGTTTGTGTGTTGTGGTAGTGCGAAAAGTTTACAAATAAAAGATCAACTTTTACAGTGACTCTTTTCGGAGTGAATTATACTTCAGAGAAATTATATGTATGTATATTAATGTGTGCTTGTGTTTACTTCTGTGTTGATATATAAAAATTTCTACAAAAATTTCTCAATTTTAGAAAAAATCAACCAACCATGTCACATCGAGGTTTCCTGGGAGATAGAAGTGTTGAGAACAGTTGGATACCGCTTTTTAAATCGTGTAAATCTGGAGATGTTGCAGCAGTTAAATTTCTGTTGGAAAATGGCGCAAATCCAGACGCTACTAAACCGCACGGTCAGACGGCTCTTCACTTCGTTTCGTCATATAAATCTGAAAAAAATCTCCAAATATTACAGTTATTAATAGAACATAACGCAGATATTGAAGCTGTAGATAAGAGAGGTCAGACACCTCTCTTTGAAGCTTGTATCTGTGAAAATTTTGAAGCAGTTGAATGTCTTCTAAAAAATAATGCTAATCCAAATGCTAGAGATGAGAGTGGTTCCACAGTTCTTCACCGTAGTTGTTTAATGGAATCTGAAACAACTTGCCAAATCATCCAGTTATTGCTGAAGTATAATGCAGATGTTAATGCTGTGTGCGATATTGGTCATTCACCACTTTTTGGAGCTTGTCAATTTGGAGGTTTTGCAATAATTAAAATTCTATTGGAAAATAATGCTAATCCAAATATAGTGGATCAGGATGGTGAAACACCTCTTCACCGCATTGGCTACTATGAATCAAGAACAACTCGCCAAATAATAGAATTATTACTGAAGTATAAGGCAGATGCTGAAGCTGTAAATAAGAGAGGCCAGACACCTCTTTTTGAAGCCTGTAGATCTGGAGATATTGCAGCAGTTGAGTGTTTATTGGAGAATTGTGCTAATCCAAATGTAGCAGATCGGAATGGCCAAACACCTCTTCACCATATTTGTTTACGGGAATGTAAAACAAATCTCCAGATAATGCAGTTATTGCTGAAGCATGATGAAAATTTTGAAGCTGTTATAGAGAAGCATGCTATTGTAAATGTAGCAGATAGGGATTATGGAGCAATTCGTCACAATTTGTATTTGAAGGAATGTAGAAGAATTATCCAAATAATACAGCTATTGCTGAAGCATAATGCAAACATTGAAGCTGTCGATGAGGAAGGTCACACACCTCTTTTTGTAGCTTGTAATTCTCAAAATATTGTAGCAGTCAAAGTTCTTCTAACATATGGTGCTAATATTCATATTTTTGATAAAAGGAATCAATCTCCGCTTCCATGTGCTGTTGATAAAATGTTGACAACTTCCCCCGTAAATTTGCCCATTCATACTGTAATTCAAATGCTAGTGTCACATTCAATTAAATTAAAGACTGCTGGACTAAATCTGAATGAATGTGACTTTGTGACTATGAATGGAGCAAAATATTCCGCGATAAACGGATTGAAATTCAATACCGTTTTAGATGATGCGTTGGATACATTAGACACCATGTGTGAAGAAGAAATTAAAAGAATGAAAATGGAAAATATCGGAATTAATGACATGTGTTTTCATGAGTTGTTAACACAACATATGCACCGGATTGGCATATTAATGGAAAATCAAAAGATCCAAGAAATTTTAAAACCATCTGATTATGATGAAAAGTTTCCATTATATATGGGTATTGTAAGATTCCGACTTAGGAAAGCACAATGTCGATATGAACGATATAAACTGCAAAAATCTGCTGGAGAACACTTTCGTTCGAATATTAAACCAGAACTTCTTCCTGAGTGTATCGACGAAGTGTTGAGTTACTTGACCACTATAGATCTGAAGACTTTCATCCGGACATTTGAACCATCAAAGGGAGAATGAGTTTCTTTTTAAACTAATTGACACATTTTCTAACTCTTTTTAGCATTTATTTAATAATGAGTTTTTAAGCACAACTATCAAGTGTGGACTACGCTATCTTTCTGTCATTGTACAATTTAAATTTATATAAAATTAATCACTTAAAGTTATGTATGGCAAATGTGAAAAATAGCTTTAATTTAATATTTACATTATAAATAAATATAAATCATCTGAAATATTTTGTATACAAAATGAATGTAATAAAAATGAATTTATAAATAAACACATAATATTGTAAATGTTAATGCATTTTTATTTAATAAGTAAAAACTTTTAATAATATAAATCTAATGAATCTTTGCAATAGAAATCAAGTATTTTTTTATTATTAATATCTAATGTGTTTCATCTATTGCTTTTAATTCAAAAAATGTTAAAACAAATATAGAATTTAATAATTTTCCAAAAGAAGTTTCAATGTAAATAATTGCAATTAATTGTATTATTTTAATTTTGATTTAAAAATATTAAATTTATCCTTATTTAATTGTTTTATCATTGACTGAAACTCTTCTTAATTCGCGAGTTTCAGCCGCGCTTAACTTTTTATCTATTACAGATAGGAAATAAGTCATGAATGCTTTTTTTGTGTAAAATTGCATTCTGAACAATTTAAATTTCTCGGGAAATTTCACTGTCTCTTATATTGTATTTCCTGACGAAGATTTTATGTCTTCATGCTTTAGAAAACACATAATATTGTTAATTTTAATACATTTTTATTCAATAAATAAAAACTCTTAATAATCATAGAAAAAAAGTTAATTTTTAATGACAAAAAAAATTCTTAGATCTAAAACGCATTTAAGTTAACAACTTCACTTTGTGTCAGATTGTTAATTTATTAGTCGATTAATGTTCACTGATTAGCATTTATATTAGAGATGTTTAAAATTTGAATTTGTTATAAACAATTAAAAGTCGTTTTAGATTATTGAATTATTATGACTATGATTATATTCGATAAATATCAATAACATATTTTAGTAAATAACTTAATGTGATTCAACAATTGTTTATAACAATAGTAATTTTTAATAAACAAAAAAACTAAAAGATCATCAAATTACGGATTTCAATGAATGAGAAGTTTATCGTCAGGGCACAAAGTCAGCTCAGACCCATTTTTCAAAAAAATTAACTATGATGACACCAAGTTTTTTATATTTCCCGCTTTACTAGTAGAAAATACACATAGATGACGTTGTATTGGATTTCTATACTTGACGATAAAAAAGGACACAACATGTCTACTTCAATCATTTTTGTCAGTTGAACAGTGTAAACAACTAAGAATCTGTGAATATATGTGTAGATTTATTGTTAAAAAATACTATTAAACAATTATTAAAATGCCTGAACAAAAAGATGATCCTCGACAAGTCCTAGCAATTCTCAATTCTCTGGGATATGTTGGTATAACAGCACAAGTATTGAAAGCATTTATGAAAGGTAATGAAGATTTAACGTACATTTGGTGATTAGATTCAAAAATATAAAACCCACTAGTACTTTTACTTATTTTTAATTTTCTTAACAGATTTAAAATTACTCCGTAAAATTAAAGAACGTGAACGTCAACAATGGAGAGAAGAAATGAAAAGAAAAATTTTCTTTAAACAGCAAAAAGCGTTAGCAGAATTATTACACGATAGTCCAAGAAGTGATGTGGCATCAACTTTGTCTTCCAATGATTCTGTAGTAAAAATAAAAATTAAATGTGTATCGACATCAGATTATGATGATAATGACGAAAATTGTGATGAGAATCAACAAACACGACCAAATATTCAAAGATATCAATCTCCAAGTCCATCGAGACAACGTCAACCAAATGAATTGAAAAAAGAATCACTTGCAAAATGTAAAAAGACTAAAATAAATGAACAACAGAAACTAAAAAAAGAAGCTGGTAATAGGAAATCAAGAAAATCCGAAAGTGAAATAATTAATTCACTTTCTGATCATACTCATGGATTGGTGATATCAGAGAAAGTACCTAAACGATCCCGATCTAAAAGTATTACTTCTGAGTCTACATGTACGCCACATACAAATCGACAAGCACTTTCAAGGAGTTCTTCTCATTCACATCCCAAATCATGTAATTATACGCTTATCATTAACTAGTTACTGTAGACATGACTTTTAAAATATCAAAAAAGTTCATTTTTTCAATATAAAAAGAACAAAACCTATTTTCTCAAGACTGAAAAAAACTTACTTTCTTACAACACGAATAACGAAGAGATTATCTCAGAATGAAATTAAAACCTTTTCTTATTTTTACTAATAACAAATTTCCCTAAGTCATTCTTGAGATTCACAGAATAATCCAGTATTCATAATCAATTAATAATTGAATTTATAATGTTGATTTTATTTAATTCTAGTCATTAGACCATGGACTTTACGTTCAGATACCCAAGGTCCTCCACAACAGACTAAATCAGATCCTGTCATGTTGTACCAGAAATATCAGAAGGATTGGAAAAAATTTCCACTTCCCGGTGAGAACTTACACACTCGAATCAGATGGGAAATTCGAGAAAAGATGCTGGGAACTTATCCAATGCCAAGGGTAATTTTGAAATAATATTCATTCGAATATAGAAAATAATTTGAATAAATTGATATTAATATCTTATTTTTTTTTGCAGCCAATCTTAAAGAAATCTTTCAGTACTATGAGCGTAAAAAGAAGATGACGATATGATAAATTATCATTGAAAAATTATCATCAAGTGTTCATGAATAAAGAAAGTTGATAATAAGATAATTAATTGCAAGAATAAATCAACAGACAGCTGTAGGATACTAATACGTTTTATATTAAATAGACGAAATTACCATAGTTTGTAAAGTTTATTCAGAAGATCCATACAACTAATAAATATCTTATTTCATTAATTTATTTCTTACTCAAAGTAAATTTAGACATCAACTGTTTATTATCAGGCCTGTGCAAATGATGTAAAAGCTTGTCTTCAATCTGACGAGCTGCACGTTGTGTTAAAACAAGTGTATTGTGCTTCAGCATGCTGTAAACATTTAATCCTAGAAGAAAGAAAAAATAATTTAAACAAAATTTAAAAGATAATCATAAAGTTAGTGAACTACTATTACCATAAACTGGCATCAAATTTATGTGAAAAATTGTATCAGTTGCAATCGTAATATTTTCTGGCATTATGTCTTCAGTATCCACAAACAAAACACTTGGTCCCCAATACCTTTCTTCTAGCAAGGACTCAATATATTCCGGATTGTTAGTGGGAATTTCTAAGTCTTTGACAATATAAAGATCATCTTGAGCTAATTTTACAGATAATGCTGAAGTCAACCCTAATACTCGATCATAAAATGGAGGCATGTAGAAATGAGTTGCTGGAGATCTTGGACCATGAGCCTTACCACCATGTTTAAATAAAGGAGAATTAATACTTCCATGGCGAGCACGACCTAATCCTTTTTGTGGCCATGGTTTTCTTCCACCTCCTTTTAATTCAGCCCTATTTTTTACATGGGCAAAGTTCTGTAATAACAATTATATTCATAAATATAACAATAGAATACTCTGATAAAGATTAGGATAAAATTACTTACAACAAATTTATACATTCGTTGCCATCTCACATTACTCCATAAAAGATCAACTCTAGGTCTTGCCGCAAATATTTCTGGATGTAGGGTCATTATTCCTAGTTTTTTTGTTTGAATGGTATCTATGTTATCTATCCAAACTTGCCTTTTTTTAATATACAAAGATTCTTCATCATAATATTTTACATTTGATATTATTGGAAGATCATTTGTTGGTATCAAGGTATTATTATTTGTCGTTTCACTTTGGACTTGGCTTTCAACTACAGTACAGAGTTTTGATATCTGACATGGATATCGTTGAAATTTAGTTGAAAGATTTTTAATAATTAATGACATTTTGTTAGTGATATTTGTCAATTTAATTTAATTTTACACTTTTCAACTTAACCTAATCTATTATGTCTAAAACTGCTGCAATGTGTTAGTGCGCAATCATCTTTGCGCAATATATTTACACATGTGTAAGCGCAACATCCACGCATGTGCGCGGGATAAAATGAAAAAGTGGCCATTGTTATACGAATAACCACAAAAATTTTGAACAATCAAAGTTGACATAAAAATTTTATTAATCGTATTTGTTTTTAATGAATGACGACAATTTTATTGTTAATCAGCAAATTCACATAATGAATAATCTTTGAATATTTATTTTGAAAATATTGTTGCAAAATCTATTGATAAATTATAATTGAATATCAAGTTTAATGAGTTTGGTTAGTATTTCAAAACAATCATTTTATTTATTTAAAAATAAGTTTTTTCCTCTAGGTAATATATATTTTTATATTTTATCTCAATCTTTCAATGGTATGTGATGCAGATAGGATGGATACCAAAGATATTTATGAAAGAAGCCAATTTATTTAAAATACAATCAAACCTACAGTGATAAATCTGGAGTATAATAAAATAAATAGGAATTAATGTGAATAATAGTAAGAACAATCTATGAAGATCAAGAGAGCGCAGTAGTAGTTCTGAACTACACGATTCAAGTGGATATTAGCCCCTTCTCTAGCTCATAGGGACGCCCTGATGACCGCGCCGTTGATCAATACTGTGTTCCGAACGACGCCGGTAGGAATCGTCGAATGTCGTCAACAGAAGTTAGCACGTTTAGTGAGCAAGCAGAAAAGTGGATCAAAATTGTGTATAATGAATTGGCAGTGCTTCTTAAAGTTAATTGATTTTTATAAACTATTTACCTAAGCTTCAAGAAGAAAAATTTTTATTGATTATTATCTCATCAATTGAAGATCCAATTGAAATTGCAGTAGGACTGACCCACCCTCAGAATGGCGAAAGTAAGTCGACTTTTTTTACTGCATGAAATCGATAATATGTAAATTTTACATTTACCAATATTTATTAACTAACTTAAGTATTGATTTTTACTCCATTTTATTGATTTGTTCAATTTTACTATAACCTAATTTAATTTCTCCGGATTGAACACCTGAAAGGCTTGAAAAATCGTTATTATTATCTACCATCGAGGATAGTTTCCAAGAACATTCCTTATTCATTTATATGGACTTTCAACTTCTGATGCATTTGCGTGTCATTATCAATTGAATAAAGAGTAAGAATTTGACGACGTCTACTAACTCGACATTTTATTATTGGACTTGACGTTTTCAAAACTTTTGTATTGCATTCCTTGCTGTGCTGTAATGTTGCGTATCACATATGCATCAAAGTGAAGATGACATAAAAGATGAAGAGGGGAAAACTTGCATGCGTAATAGAAAAAAAAAAGAAGAGTTAGCAGATGATCGATCGGGTAAACATGGTAGCAAGTCGTCATACCCGGCATATCAAAAATTTACAACTGTTTAACTTGATTAATATTCGTGACAGTACTTGATACAAACAATAATAATAACAAATTTATTTATCAAAATGACATCTTGAGTTATAGTTCTGTGATTTAAAGATCAGATATCAATCATTATGAACAGTAATAGGAATAATGTATCCATTTTTTTTTGGTGATGACCATTATGATAATTTTGTAGAAATATTTTTTTAAAAACTCATTACCACAAATGTTGAAAATATTTCAAGTAATAAAAACACACTACTTTTAGTTGTGTTAGCTATTTTTCGCTATAATTAGGTGCGATTAGTATCTGAACATTATTAAAATAGTATATAATTATGACCAATCATGATATTTATGACCATGACAAACTTCTAACATATTAGACTTCCAGTTTTATTGAAATTCATCAAAAAAACATCAAGTTTCTAATCAAACAATATGTTGATAAGTTGACGTGGTACTAAGGTATTCACAAGTCGTATAAAGTAAAGTCATGTAACTGCCAAGTCTTCATAATAAAGGCGCATCGCTGCTTATATGCGATGAAACAAGCGGTGTTAGACGTGGTAAGTAGTGATACGAAGGTCGTGCCGCTACAAACGCCTCGGACACTCCACTTTACAACTGATGGAATCAGTGTTGAACCGTCTGTTGTGCTGAACGTTTCTCTGTTTTATTGTGTTTTATTTCTATCTTAGCTTTTTAATTATTTGCTATCGACAATACTCGAGGTTAATTAATGCCAAGTAACAATAAGATACATAGTACTGTTCTTCTATACAATGTGCACGTTGATGGAAATATACAAGCAAAATTACTGCAGTGGTTCAAAGGGTTCAACTCTTTTGTTATTGCCGCGTCAACAGAAGCATACTCGAGCATAGGCTGGGAAGATGCGACGGCTGTTCATCAATTACATAAGGCGAGCCTTCATTAGGATTCGTAAATATCCAGTTTTTAAACATAATTTCCATATTTTTATTTTCTTTAAACAAAGTATCTTTAATGTTAATTCATAATTTATTGATATCCATTTAATCTTTCACACAAATTTCCAAAATAAGGAAATTGATAAACAGCTGGCTTACTTCATTTTATTTAATAATACAAAAATCCATTTGTTTTTAAAGTTTTATTGCCTAATTATGTGAATAAAGTTCAAGTGGATGATGTCATATTCAAATTGGATTTATTCCTTGTTAAAATTAATTTTCAGAATGAATTGATGAAATATAAATTTTTGTAAATAATTTTAATATTTATCAATTGACGTGATAAAAGTTAAATAGCATTTTATTATAAAGAAAGACTAGAATAATTAATAATATGTGAAGTAGGCTATTTTGTTCTGAGAAATAGATAAGGAATTTTTATGGGCTGATGTTTTAATTGATGATTGAATAAATATATGAGGATATTATCAATGCAAGTATGTTGATAGCGATGTTGGTTCAAGTATAGTTTATACATAGTTTGCCTCTTGACGTATGTTAAAGTTACCGCCGTAGTTGCGGCCGTTACGATCATCAAAAGAGCAATAGAGAAAGAGATTAGAAAGAAAGAATGAGATGGAGAAGCAGGTGGAATGTATGGGTAGTTACACTGTTCACATGAACATCATTTGTTGACATTGTTTAAGTAAAGACATTATTTCTCAATAGTTTTAGAAACTTTATTTTTCTTTTTATTTTATTTCACTTGAAATTTGCACTGTCATGCTGCTAAGTCATTTGTATGGGATTTTAAAATCTATTTTATTTTATTCGTTTTTCATTGTTAAAATGATCATTCAAAGATTTCTATGTTATAAATCTGTTCATTGTTAATTATGGTTTCTCTGTTTATTATTGGAGATATAAATTGTAAACTAGAGAAAAACTCGTGCGTGCGCGACGACCGTGTGCGTGCGGAAACACGCACTGATGAACGCATATCAGTACCTGTGAACTTTAGAGTAACATTTCAAATTGGAATACTCGTCGTCACGAGTCGACGCTTTGTTCATAAACCATGTCCAGACGGAAAATCACCATCAATAAAAGACATAACTTTAATAGTTTAAACGCTTAGTGCAATTCAATTGTTTCAATAATTTACTAACCATTGATATTTATTTTTATTTTTCAATTATATTGGTGAAATTTATAGATAAATTAGTTGAAGTCAATTGAGTGAACATTTTTGTGAACATCTATGACAGTTAATGAATGAAAACTACTCCAATAAAGTGGTAATTAATTTAATTCTTTTTTATATTTAAATGTTCAATCATGTTGCATCTTTAATTTTTAATATTTATATAATACTGAGAAATAATACTGATGATGATAACAGCAGTTGCGATTGAAATTAAAAATTCTCAATTATTGTATAACGGTGACGTATACTGTAATTAATTATTAAACAAATATACAGTGATTTTTAATTGAATTACAATAATAAATATTTATAAATAATTATTTAGATAAATTAAGTCTAAAACTTCTTTCATTTTTAGATTTGTTTGTTAAAATCTAACCACTGCGAGAAAAAAATAGTAGGCGTGCAGGACTCTATTAATTTAAGTCATGACTTGAAAAATTATCTCGACTACATAATTACTATATTCAATCTAAAAGAGAATAATATAATTATTTACCACAGTTAATTTATTATTATTGATTATATACATGAGTTGGTATGTAAAAAGTGAAACATGTCTTTTTGCAATACTTTTAATTTACATTTTTTATAAAAAAAAACATTTATGTGCTGAATAACTTGATGACATTGTTGATGTTTAACTTTGATTAAAACTACAACACCTTGGTGGATATTCAATAGTTTCTCAATGCAGTTCACAAAGTAACCATAAAGTTTCTCAAGTATAGAACCGTTGTTGTATCAACATATTGTTAAATACATCGTTTTCGTGACTAAATTTCCAAACTTCAGTCACATAACGGTGCATATGAGACCGCACAATTCACTAGTTATACATAAAACATATCATAGGTAATATTTCAAAAAAGACTTTTTTTTTCTAATCAATAAACAACAGTAATAATATTAAAGTCTATCTAAGTTTGCTTACTATCGCCGTTCATTTTATTTTATTATTTATAATATTCTTATTTTTTAGAAATATACATTTCTAATTTTTGAACTTCCCATTAGGAAGTTATTGAAATTAGGTCGATTGGTAAAATTTGAATTTTCATGATATTTGCAAGCATACTGACCAATTTATAGAATGATGTGTGTGTGTACGTACGTATGAATGTATGTACGGACGTCAGCATTTTTTTCGTTTTCGATATCTCAAGAATGGATTAAGATATTGACTTCAACCAAAATTAATTCGAAAGATATTATTATAAAAAAGATCTGAGTGAAATTTGAACAAATTCGTTTGAGCCATTTTTTTTATAACGAAATAACTAATAAAAAAATGAAAGGTTAGCTATTTAAAATACTTTTAAGTCAAACAATAACAATTTCATTTAAAAATTGAGTCGATACTGACTAGACATTATTGTTCACAACCAAATATGACTTTCAACAATTATGCATTGTTTATAACAATATGAATTTGTTATAAATAATTAAAAATTGTATTTATTGATTAAGTAATGCATACATCACATGGATTTGGAAGGTTTCATCAAAATAATGTTATTTGTGATGAGATATGACTCGTAAAAATTACATATTGTTTATAAAAATACGAATTCGTTATAAACAATTACTATTTTTTATTTTTTTTTAGAAAATTATGTACAGCATCAAGAGTTGATATATAATATGTCAGAAAAATATTTATACTATGAAAAATAATCATTTTCTCACCTTGTCATCACTTTCAGAAAAATATAATTAATTTCCTGTTCAAATAAAAATAAATTTTCTATCAAAGCCATATTATTCATTCAAGAAGAAAAATAATTTGCTGATGTTAAATTGACAAGCTATTTGCTGATATAGAGACAAAATAAACTATTCAAGTAGATCACCCACCTAATATCAACGTTGGTGGTCTAATTTCCAAGAAACTTATTTGAATCAATTCACAAAATTATCATTATCTTAAACTATTTGGCACATTAAAATTAAAAATGTGTTCTTAATTCTTTCACTTGAGGCTTTTTTTTTTTTATGTGTCAGTCGGCATTTGATGACTATGATTATGAGATAAGGAGGCAAGTGTATGAGTAGTAAGTATGAGTAGGCCGAGTCTTCGTACAGTAACATGCAATGTGCGTTAGAATAACGGAGTAACGAATAAGAATAAAAGGTTAGGTAGGCGGAGTGAATTAGCACGAATTACCAGCTGCAATTGAATGAAATCGTGTTAACTCGTTATATATATATATTTCTATTCCCATGTATATATATATATAGATAGATATATGTGTAACCTACTTGTTATGCGAACGATGTGCTGACAGTTCACGTACTTTTTTATCGAAATCTTTTTTACAACAAATACTGTAAAACCAACTGATGTTTACTGTGTGAGAAAATAGAAATAAAAATAATTAGTAAGAAGAAACAATGTGATAGTTCAAGGCAATAATTGTAATGAGCAATGTATTTTCTACATGACACAAGCATTGTAATATCGATTTTATTTTTTACTCATACTCCACAGGGAACTTGGTATAGAAAATAAGTTATAATTACTTTAGTTGTCTTTTGGAGTTTATCTTATCATTTCAGTAGTCATATTTAAGTTTTTTTTTTTTTTTATTTTCGTTGGAATGTTATTATTACTTGTCTGATTATCATACAGATGATATACAAACAATTCTAGTGAACATTTAGATAAAGTTAGAAGTAGATATATTATAAATTCAGGTTCATAATTATTAGTTTTGGTAATGAAATAATTTTCAAAATTACTCTAAAAATGAATAACCTAACAGACTTTTCTATTTATAGAAATAACATTAGCACATATGAATTGAGAACAAATTGTTTTGTTCTTATGATATTTAATAAAATATCGTTGATGTTTTATTTTAAAAAATTCTTTATTTAAAATTAAATATGAATCACTTAATTAACACTACAAGACTTGTTTTTAAAAATTATTATTTCGTTAGTAAATGAATGAGAAAAAAACAAGTGAACAACAATCATCAAGTAGTTATTTAAAAACGTAAAAGAGAATGAAGTGTTATTTTAGGTTGTAAAAAAAAAAATCATTTATGACACAGTTCAATAGTCGAGTCTAACGGCTGTTGGTAAATGTACATATGATAAAGCGCATTACCTCAACATTGATAGCATATGTGTGATATGTGGTGATGTGCATTCGTATATCTAATTTGAGTTTAAGTAGAATTAAGCGCATGCGTGTATGGACGCGGGTAGCAAAATTTAAGCACAAATGCCTGAATCATATGGGTCCAAGTTAAATTAATCTAGCTAGTTGGCCAGGTTGTAGAATAGCACACTGGCGAAAGTTCTATGGACTTGACAGTATTTGTGATCAAATTTCCAGGAAAATTTACGATTTCGCGAGTTATATAGAAATAAATTAATTCGTTATGTTTGAGGTGATAAATTAATTTAAAGTATACTATTTTATAATTAATTGTTAATTTATGAAATTTTTTCTTTACAGAACGCTGGTGAGAGTAGAATACCGGTTTCGCGAGCTGTGCGACCGTCTTTTTTGTCTAAATCCAAGATAGTTACACCATCAAAATATAATTCAAGTGTTAATGCAAATGTTGCCCATCCAAGGCACTCCATACTGCCAGGAAGTTTGTCTACTGCTGAATCTGAATGTAATCTCAATACACCTCGACTATGGTCCATGAATGCCCTATTTGCTTCTATTCCATCAGAAGGTATTTTTTATTATTCATTTTAATATAATATTATATGACATTTTTAATTATTAAGTTATGCTAATTACATGGTTCTGTGTTTCTTTTTTAGCTGGCAAGTATTCAGAAGAAACGTTCAAGTATCCAGATGTATGGAATCAGAAAGATATTGATAAACAACATGATTTATCATTAAGGAAAGAAGAGAAACTCATAAAGTGTGTATCTTGTAATTGATAAGTGGGTTGGTAAATAATACAATCTAATTCATCAGATTTGTACTGAATGTACACAGAGAAGTTACTGCTTTTATTAAGAGAACTTTTATTTAATTGAATCAAAACTGTAGGAAAAATGAAGTCTAAGAGGATATATTTTATGGGAAATAGTAAAGTTTCTTTTACAAAGTTTTATTTCAGGTTATTATTAGTGATTTGAAGTTAAAATCGTCTAGTATTGATCATTTACTAACCCATTACTTACTTCTAAAACTCGTTAGTTGGTTATTTCTACAATAATTGAATTTCTTGTAGCAAATTGTATGGACAGAGTATGATAGAGGACGTTGGTAGTAGCTGCTTGATAGACTTGTCATTAAGTAGTACGAGTGAAACTACAGGATCGAATTCTTTAAATACAACGCAGTTTTTAGTACTGAATAAGCAAAATTCGTTCGAGCATGACGAAAGCTTGGGGATACTTACACCGGACCAAATGACAGACTTTACCGTAGCACTCGGTTGCTCCCGAACACCATCTTATGAAAATCTTACTGGATCTCGTTTTGCCGCTACGACATCATCTTCATCACGAGCATCACGTCCGACAGATGTTCCGTTTGTAGTGAATGTTGATGTACCAGGTGATTTTTGTGAAAGAACTCCATCTTTAGAAGAATTACCACTTGATCCAAAGCCACTTGATTCTAAATCGTCAGCTGATCACACAGTTAATCAAGCAGCAGTGACGATAACAACTACAGCAGCAGCCTCAAGCACCGCAACGTCTACGGCATCTTTGCCGATGAGTTTCGTTACTTCTGTAACTAGTATAACAAGTCTTGAAGCAGGTTATCAAGGTGACGGAGAAAATTCAAGACCAGCAAGTCGTGGTCCTGATTTACCATTAGCTCTTGCTGCTAATTTACCTGTAAACTTGCCAGCATCTTGTCGGTTACAAGATCCAATGACTGATTCTGATTTTTTTACTGAAAGTGATGCTGATGCTCATGAAGACATTGGTAGAGGTGATCGTAAAGCTCAAGTAATAGACGGTACTCTTTTCTGTGCACCGGTTGGTCGCAGATGTCCCAGCTTCGCAGGCGAAGAAATGGACTCAAGCGGAATTTATTCAGATCTTGATAAGAGACAAGATGAACTTTATAATCATGAAGAACCACTTAGTGAAGATCAAACAGCTGATACAGCTGATACTGGTGATACTCAAGTATCACCAAAATGTCGAGTATCACCAACTCTTAAGCCTGAAGTACCTCAAATTATCATGAATTATTTACAGGTTGTTATTAGTACCATTTAATATCTATAAATATAAATTCATGTATTTATTAAATTTATAATTAAGAAATATTTATGTTAAATAGGTATCCAATCAATTAGAGAATTCAGTTGAAGCATCTCCAGAAAAAAATGATGTTACTGTTATACATGTTTCTTCAGCTGACAGTACTATTCGATCGAGTAATAAATTATTGAATAAAGTCGACCCAGTGGGCTTGAAAAAATATAAAATGCCGAAGAAAAATGTAGCGTCAAAAATTAAGGCAATGATTGAATCTAATGGTAAAGAGGAAGTTAAGGAACAACGACGAGCTTCGAGGTCACCACGGAAGAATGGTCGATGGGACGCGGTCATGAGTAAGATCGAGGCAGGAAAGACTGAACAGAGATCGAGGCCGCCGCGTAAGGAAGTCAAATCTAGGCTTCTACAGAGTCTCGCACCAACTTCCTCCTCTTCTTCCTCATCTACTTCTTCATCGTCAGCTGTGACAGTAGCTTCCGCTAAACGTTTGACTGGCGATGCGAATAATAATAGCAATGCTAATAAAGACAAAAGGTAATGCATAATGAAAGATAATTAACCTTTCTACATCCAATTATTCATTTGATAAATAAAGCAAAAGATTTAGATTCTATTTTTAATATGTTTTGATAAATTAGTAGATTACTAATTGATGTAATTTTATTTATGATAAGGAGAACAAGAGCTCGTCAAGGAGTTACTTCCCCGACCCAAGAAACTGCCCGTAGTTCAGTGCGTAGTTCAATGAGTGATTTAAGCAGTGCTCCAAGCAAGGGCACCACCAGTTCCAGTAAGTAGAACAATCTCTACGTTGCATAATCACTGAAAAAATTCACATATTGTCGTTAATCATCTGCTAAAGTATTTTGCCTTCTCGTGAGTCTCGCGAGATGACGGCTAGCCCAAGCCCTTCGGTCGTTCTCGGTGATGGTCGTGATTGCTCGGTCTCCAAGTCTCTGCAGTTGTGCGGCGTTCGGCGGCACGCAACGGCATGCGCCCGTCTGTACCTCAACGATTCAGTCCTTCTGAGTTTTCTATTCGGGTCAGCCGAGTAGTTTTTTATTGTGATGAATCGATTTCTCCAAATAGTCATTAAGTGAAACTAGTGATTTAAAAAACATTCCAAGTATTGAAAATAAATTTGGCACTTTTAGAAAATAATTTCAAATAAATGAATGTGAAAAATCCTCAGGGTGTAAGAAAACTGGATAAAGTGTGTTATGGAGTCTAAAGCACGGCTCTGATCAATAATAGAACGTTGTTCCACTTGTTTAAATTTGAAACTTCAACATAAACTATGAGTTTGAAGTGAAGTATAAAAGTACAAACAGGTCAACGGCATATACCCGTTTATTTCCGGCATTACTCCTTCCTTCCCTCATCTTCCCGTTCAGTCTTTGTTGTTCAATTATTCTCTACCACCGCTAGACTCTGTACCGTTGCTTTTGCCACCCGGTTCTACCCCCACTCTTGGTTAGACAGGTGTAGCACCTGGTCGCCACGTGCTTGATCGTCCAAGGCCGACAAGAAAGGGATATACTAACATCAAACTCTAAGAGTATATCTCAGCTTCGCGCATATGCTTTCAAAGTTCACGACTCCGGTCATGGAACTTGGCTGGAGAAATAAACGTGACTTGGCAAGCTAAAATAAAATCGATAGCTTACGATAATATGCCGTGTAAATGATCGGCAATAATGATGATTTGCTGCAATGCGACACATGCATGTGATTCAAAGAGACCAAAAGAGACAGGATGAAAGACACAAAGTGAAGACGACAGATCTGTCAAACAATCGCACCGGGTGATTGCCCGAATTGGATACCTGTCGAGGAATTTATCTCGGAATAGGCTGCAAGGGCAACTGCGGACAATGTAGGCTATTGCTAGACGAGCTTTGTGGCGTTGGCTCAAAGCATCTTCAACGGTCAAGGCAACATGTGCAAATATTTCAATTTAATTTCAATTACAACTTTATCAGTTGCACATTATTATTTTCTTAAATTCCTCAAATTATTTTTATGTAACTGATTTTGAGGTGGAAAAGATTTAAGTGCTTTAATTTATTACTATCATCATCATCGTCGTCGTAGTTGTCACCGTTATAATCCTCTTAGAATAGCAAACTTCAACATGGGACAGCAAGGCTCCAAAGGTAGAGCTGCTCCAGTGCGAGCTGACCTAATCAGAGAATCAAAAATAGGACTAGGAAGTTTTAAAAGAGGTATTATGAATGTATGAACACTAATTGGCCTACTGCTATATGTAAAATGACTATGGAGACCCTCACTTTTATTCAATTTAACTGATGATAGATACTTTAATCTGGTGTAAACCTACGCGATAGTTCATTTTCACGATATATTGCCGGTGATCGTGGATTTTTAACGACTTAAACATTTCATCGAGGCCGTCTATTTTAATTCTTGGCGTTTCTTATTCAGTACTGCCGGAATATCATTTAAATTTCCTGTTTACGTTATTCTTCTCTGGCACTTGATGCCTGGCAATGCTCTTATCTGTTCAATATTTTCATCAGATTATGTATAATGTTTTCATTTTGATTTTTTATATTTTTCAGAACGATCACCTGCTACTGGAAATCAACAACGAAGGGTAGTCAATGGCCGTGGCAGCTTAAAGTTACATGCCACCAACAATGATCCAAAGAAAGCTTGTACACTTGATTTGTCACCGCTTAATCTTGGTTGGTATTTACTCTTCAAATTATTTTGATTCCTTTCATTCTACTTATGACGTTTTTTTCACTTAACTCTATTTTGTTTTGAGCATAATAAGCTTTCAAATATACACTCGACGACCGATTAATGACACTGTTCCACTCCATAATTTTTTTTATCTCACAAAAAAGACGATGTAATTTTAATGAAATTTTTTTACCTTGAAACGGAATATGATTTATTTTTTTGTTAGTGCCCCGAGCTTTTTAATGACATATTTTTTAGCCACTATTTATGGTTTGACACAGTTTATTTTATTTATCATGGCAATACATATAAATAATGAGTATAAAACGTGTTAGAAGAAGATTAGAACTAAAAATAACATTTGATGGTATTATAATTTTTTTACTAAGAACATGTGTGATTTATGATTCGCTTCGTTTTCGATGTCATGGGAAGTAAATATTTTATTTTATTTTTTATACTATCAATATAAAACTAATTCAATTATTTGTCAAGTATTTTTGAATATTTATCTTAACTCATTCTACTTTAAATACATTCATCATTATTTTATATCAATTAGTTTTAATTTAAAAAAATGTTTTGTGTTACTTCATTATGCTTTAAGAAACATTATTTTTTATTTTTGTTTATTTAAAGATATTTAAATATTCATTCCTATTAATTCTGCTTTAAATACATTGATCATTATTTTATATCAATTAATTTTTATCAAAGAATATTATATTTGTTATATTATAAGTTTTTAATAAATATTATTCTCGATTTCCTTCTGATTAAAGATTTATAAAAACAATAAGCTTAACTAATTTTGCTCAAAATAAATTCATTATTATTGTATGTCATTAAGTTTTAATTAACAAAAAACAACCGTAATTTTTATATGATAATTTTTTAAAAAACTTTTTTTTTATTTCGGTTCAATCAAAGATTTAAACATTTGTCTAAATTTATTCTGCTTAAAGAACATTTATCATTATTTTATATCAATTAATTTTAATTTTAAAAAATCAAATTTTTATATTAAAAATGTTTAATAAACATTATTTTTTACCTATATTTAATCACAAATTTTTAAACATTCATCTAAACTTATTCTGCTTAAAGAACGTTTATTATTATTTTATATCAATTAATTTTAATAGAAAAATATTATATTTTTATCTTAAAATTTGTTAATAAACATTTTTTTTTATGTTTATTTATTTTAAGTAGCTACAAATTTTTAAAGCTTAAACGATTTAAAACTACATTTAGTTATTCAGTAATAAACTATCTATAATTATTTGTATTCATTGGTTTACTATACAAATTTAAATAGCTCTTCATAATAACGTCATAATATTGTGTGTTTACAGACAAGAGCCCAACACCAATTCGGAAGGCTCCATCAACAAGACGAGCGATGACCCTAAATACAGTGAATAACAGTGAAAAATTACAGAATGGTTCTACGTTGAACACGAAAGGTGTGTAATTGTATATTTATTCAGGAATGAAAAAACGTGAAAAAAGCTTGACAAAATAATGCCTTAACGAACGAGTGAATTTATCGTGGGAGTATCGCGTAAAATACGTAATCGTGCTTACTTCACAGACGGAGAACATGAATATATAGACACTTAAGTTTTTGGCACTGGTGGGTGGTAAGCAGGGGAGTAAAGGGAATAATGCACAGAGCGTGTAAAATGCGCAAAGACGAGCCGAAGCTAGAGTTTTGCTGTGAGCTAATTCAGTCGAAGTGCGTACAGCGTACTTGAAAGTCTGATTTTGACGTCTATAAAGACTTGCAATTCTTGATTGTTTTATCGCACCCTTTCGAGCTTGTTGAAATGTTAGCACGCGATTCATTGACATATAAAACATAACATATTACTTCCTGTGAGCTGTAGTGATCAGTAATTGGAGCAACATGTGGTCCACTTAAATTTAATATTTTCTCCTATTTTACATTTTTATCAATTAATTCATTACCTTTTCAATCATACATTTAACCTAAAATATTTAATTGGAAACAAAATGAAAATTATTTATAACTATTACAGAAATAATTTATATATATCTATATGTATATATATCTATGTTATTCACTAATACGTTTCTCTGGTTAATCTTTTTTAGTTATTAACTATCATCTCCCTAATTAGATTAGTTTAACATTCCAATTAGAACTAGAATGAAAAGTATTTATAAATTTATGTACAGTTTTCATTAAAAATTTAACCTTGATGTTGGACAGAGTAGACTGCAGAATTGGTATTTCCGGCTATTAAACTCGAGAAGTGTAAAAGCTTAATGCGTAAGTCCCTCCCGTTAAACAATATTATTTTATGGCTTAACTATGGGAAAATCCCACTCGGAATATTGTACGAAAATTTCCCGTTTTTGTTACATGAAACAATGTCTCAATAGAGTATAAGCAGATTATGGATTCCTCAGCATTTGTACAAAAATTTTAACTGATTTATACTATGGAAAATTTTCCATTTTCTAAAGAAAAGGGTGCAAATATCTTTCGTCAAGCAAAGTCTATAAGAAGGGACTGTCAGGTAGATAATTGTAACAACGATTGGTTGTGCCTTCAAGAAAGTTTGGTAGGGATAGAACCTCATGCAGGCTGTTGGAGCCGCCCGGCTGCTGGTCAGTCTGCTAATCGAAGAATTCCAATACACTTCGTTGTAGTAAAGCATTAAGCATTACGGAAATCAGTGTTTGAATTTGTCAAGTTTTTTGTTCGATTTGTACTTTTTTGTGTACTTAAAAATATGTTGCTTCAACGCAATCACCAGTCAATGAATACTATGAGAATGATGTCACCTGTGATGTTCATTACAGATCGTGCAACTAAAGATATAAATACAAGTACTGTTATTTCAACAAGGATTACAACAGAGACTCAAGACCATGGTACTCAAACTGATATTAATGATGAATCTCACCAAATTCAATTAAAACGCGCCAATAATACGATTGAAGCGCTATGTCTTACCGTTCAGTATTCAACAAACGAGGTAAATATATTGCATGATTTTCTTTCATAAAATTATTTCTATACTGTTACGTTTATTCTTTTATAAATCCTTCACCTTGCTTATATTTTTTAACACGAATAAATTACAGATCTTAACTGCTAATTTTTTTTTTCTTTGACATTAATATAAAAATAGAAGACAAAAGAATATTATTCACAAGGAATTTTGTCAAATATCTTTTATTAGAAGGTTTATTTTAAGATTCTTTCTTTGGTTAATCTTTTATTTATTTTTATACTTATTTATTTTTGTTTATCTATTAAGATTATCGCTAATTAATGTTAATTCATATTTAATCATGCATGAATATCAAATGAATGTCAAAATTTTTTTTTGAAAATTATTACTTTCTTAATGTTTCATTTTTGTTTTCACTAAAACATTTTTATTACTTGTATTTCAAAATTTCATATGTAAAATAGATTTCTGTTTCGTATCTCTGATGACTTTTTAACATTTATTCAATTATTCAACATGTGAAATCGAAGTAAAACCTTACATATAACTACGTATTGATTTGGTTGTGAATAGTTAATGATATATTGACTTTACTCATGTAAATTGTATAGTAGTTATTAGCCTAAGGTCAAGATAATGGTCATCTTATACTCATTGACTTATGTTGACTTAATGAAAAAAATGCAAATGATTAAATACTTCATTATTTTATTAATTAATAGTATACAAGTAACTGTACATGCAATTTTGTATACGAATTTAACATCCATTAGTATTGTAATAATCAGTTATTTTTACCAGTCATAGTTAGTTATTTTATATTTAAACGATATTTCCAACATTACAATTTTTTACAAAAACAAAATTAGAAATATGCGGGAAATTGAATGTTTATACTATACTAACAGAGTTTATTTATTTTTTATTCTAGCTTGAAAATCATAACAAGCAGGCACAAGTACAATTCCAGGAGTTGAAAGAAACCCATGGGATATTAGAGGAAACATTAGAAAAGGAGCGACAAGATCATGAAAAAGCACTAGATAAATTACGTGCTCAATGTAAGTGTAAATGAATTATAAGAATAATAAATAATTTTTATTTCATTTAATAAATAAAATATAGTTTATCAAAATTTATTAATAAAATAATTGATTATTGAATAATTGATAAATTGAATTAATTGTTACAGTAAAAGCTGATCACACTAAGCACATAAATGATCTACAAGATGAGAAAGAAAAATTTGAAATACGACTTAAATCATCGCTGGACGAAATTAAGAATAAGTACAAACAAATAATAGAAAGGCTTAAGTCAGAGCATGAATTTGAAATTGAAGCTAAAGAGAAACTTTGGAGAAGTAAACAAGCAGCTTTAGAATCTCAAAATTCGCAGGATGAGCTTGATACTATTAAAAATGAATATGACTCTTTAAAAATGTGTTTAAAACCCGTTATGAAATTTAAAAATCGGGTGATTTTAAAATTAAGACAGGAAAATGATGAGTTGAAACAAAAAATTGATACAACGAAGGACTTGCAGAAAAAGATTAATAGCTTAGAAGATCAACTGAAGAAAGAAGCAGAATCTAAAAAGATTATTTCTGAATATCTACCAAATGAAAAAATGGACTGTTCGTTGAGTAATGATCAAGTAGCAACACTTCGTGCTGAAATCTGGAGTCTTAGGTCTGTTCTCGAGTTACGGAGTCAAGAAAACGCATCAATGAGAAGTGAAAATGAAATTCTACGAAGAGATGTGGAAGGCAAAGAAACTCTTGAACAACGAGTTGAGACGTTAGAAGCTAGATGTGAAGATCTTAAAGCTCAATTACAGGGCAAAGAATCTTATGAAAGACAATTATCTCATCAGAATGAAATTCTTCTGGGTTCATTCCACGAAATTTCCAAGCAAAATAAGCGGTTAATGCAAAGAAATGAAGAACTTCAATGGAGACTCAGACAGAAGAGTGAAGTAGTGAGTGTTCTAGCTAATCAATTAGCTACACCAACTCCAAGGCTATCAAGATCTCTTGGCCCAGAACACATTGAACATTCTATTACTGCTGATAAAAACTCAACACCAACATCAAGCTCAATGATTAAATTTATGGTGCATAAAGGAGACTCTGTATCTTGGACACTTGAAATTGATGAATCTTGTGATCCTTTACCAAATCATGATGCTAGGCCAGCAGTATCTCGTCAAAATTCACTTAGACGATCAACGAGGAAACCAATTGATACCAGAGCGCGATCTAAAAGTATTTCTACATCGGATGTTCCTTCTTCTGATGGAGATTGGTCACCAGGATTTAATTCCACACCTATGTGTTCAAGGAGAAGGCCTGGAAGTGATCCTTCACCAAATGCTCTCGTCGTTCCAACTTCACCAAATGTCTCAAACGCTGAAGTTAACACAGGCCCTAGACCACAAGAAGCAGGAGGTGAAGCTATGATTTCCGAAGAAGCATCTGCTACGAGCAGTGAAGATGAATCATCAGCTGGTAGTGATATCCCAAGACTATCACTAGGCTATGATTGGAACCATTCTGTGGAGTAACATAAATTCTCTTCTTATGTGCACTGTTCTTCTTCCACTAAATATTTAACTGAAATAGATTCTTTTTAATTTTATTGATTAATTACTTGTGATCTTTAATTTGATTCTTAATAAACCCAAATGCAAGTGTATATTTGATACAAATATTTTCACAGGTTTTGCATTTTTTTTCTTTGAAAAAATGGAAATTTATTTTTTTATCGGGTGTGTAAATATGCGCTAACAATGAACAAGTTTCGTTGACTCTATTTTACCTGTAAATATCACGTAATAAGTTTTATCTGTTAGTATTAATTAAATTTATAATTATGTCATTTTTTAATGTAACATTTAAATCATCTAAAAATAGTTATATCTCATGGAATTTCGTAGCTTATGCTCTAAAAATGATAATCACAAAATTATAAATAATTGTATCAACTTTTAAGTTTTATTGATAAATAATGTGTGTATATCAGAGGTTAAATAAAGAACGACTATAATTATAATATATGATTTTTTTTATACGTGATAATGAATTATAGATTTACTGTTATAATTGTGTGATCGCTGTCTCTTTTGGTTGCTACGATATATAAACGAATAAGCAATGTCACAAATGTCTCCAAAATATTCCTATTTTTTGACTTTTTCGTTTCTCCGAAAAAGTCATATTCTATTTAAAAATTCTATTCTAAAATATTTTAATCTGCGATATTTAAACTTGAAAATTTTTTTTCTCAGACATCCACTCAAAGTTAAAGTTTGCTCCCTGTTTTCAGGACGGAAAGCGACATATTCTATCACATACAGAAAGACTGAAAGAGGTCAAATTATCATACTTTGCTCCCCCAGTTAATAATCTACTGATTGTTCTTAAAATGGTTTAATTTGGTAGCAATTTTTCTTTCTTATTTTTTCCCCATTTGTTACAAACAATTCAAAATCATTTCTTTCCATTATTATATGGTAAATTATGTTGACGAAATCGTTTGGTTCCAAATCTTTTTATATTTAAAAAGTTTTTATCAATAATAAATCATGGTAAAAAAAATATTATTAGAATGTAATCGATTTAGAGATGAAGATTTTGAAGTCAAAATATTTTTAAGATTAAATATTGCTGAGTAAAATTTGTTTGGAGAAGGCAAAAAGTTGATAAATAGAAACATTTTGGGGATATTTATCGCGCTGCCAACGAATTATATCTCCCAATAGATCGAGTAATTAAATCAATTATAACAAAAATAAACAAATAAATCAAACAAAAGTATTATTCACAAAAAAAAGCAAACATGACTCAGTACTGTGCTGTATAATAATCTATTAATTTAAAAATTATTTTATAAAAATTAATTTAAACATGATTGATTCTTATGAACACAGTACTGATTATTATCTATCACAGCAACCATAAAATTTTTCCACAGTAACTAGTACTGTGCTCACGAGAGTCGTCCATGTTTATATTTATTTTCATGAGAATAATTGTTAAATTGATGAAAGATTGTCTTGTAGCACACTACTTAGTCATATTTTTTTTCATGTATCTATATATCATAACAAAGTGCGTTTTTTTGTATATGTTGAAACGAAATAAATGTAATATAACCACAACTTGCATAAAATAAATATTAAATAAAATTAATTATAAATATTTCTTTTATTTGACAGTCATTTTTTAATTTTTTAAATTAATTATTAATTATCATTTATTATTCTGATAATCCTCGTACAATTTCACAAGAGATGCTGGTGTTCGTGGAGATACAATCGATAATGCAGCTTTAAAGTTATTTTTTGTAATTATTTTAGCTTCTAAATTGTCCTCAAGAGCATTCATTGCTGCTTCATGACATATTGCTTGTATTTCCGCACCTGAATATCCTTCGGTAAGTTCAACTAAATCTTGTACATTAACATCATCAGCTATGGGCATCTTGTTGAATTTAATTAAAAATATTTCTAATCGTGTTTGATTATCGGGTAATGGTACATAAACAATTCGATCTAATCGGCCTGGCCTCAGTAGAGCCTAAAAGATGAAATGTCATTATTAGTTCAGTTATTCCAATTAAACATAAGTTGATTTTTTCTCGAGTAACTGTATATTTTATGAGAAGATTAAAATACCTTATCTATTCTATCAGGCCTATTCGTTGCGGCTACAAGTGTGACGTTGCCTAATGCTGTCACTCCATCAAGCTCCGTCAGTAATTGAGCCAAAACTCGTTCCTGAACGTTATTACTAGTATTACCAGTATTTCCACTAGCTCTTTCACCTCCAAGAGCATCAATTTCATCAATAAAAACGATTGAAGGTGCAACTTGTCTAGCTTTACGGAAGACTTCTCTTACTGCTTTCTCAGACTCTCCAACCCATTTTGAAAATAGCTCTGGTCCCTAAATTTGTCATTTTAAACAAATATAAAATAATATAAAATATAAAATAAAATAGTTAATAAACTTTTTCATTTTTCGATTTAATGGAAAATTACAAATTTTTACCTTGATATTTATAAAATTAAGTTTGCTCTCTGTTGCCAAAGCTCTGGCAACCATGGTCTTAGAACATCCAGGTGGACCAAACATCAAAACACCCCTAGGTGGTGTGATTCCCAGTCTTGAAAATGCTTCTGGATGTTTCAAAGGCCATTCTACTGCTTGTTTAAGTTTTAACTTTAAAGATTTCTGTCCACCAATTTCAGACCATTTAACGTTCGGCACTTCTACTAAGACTTCTTTCATTGCTGATGGTTTTACGGCCGTTAAAGCAGTAGTAAAATCGTTTCCACAAATAAAAACGTCTGTTGAGTCTGAAGTATCAGACATATTATGTCTTTTTATCGCTCGCATTGCCGCTTGAGAGCATAAGCAACGTAAATCTGCCGCTACAAATCCATGAGTTATAAAAGATATCTCATCGAGCTCTTCATTAGTAACAGAATTCGGTAATTTAGATAAAAGTTTTTGTAATATTTCTCGACGCATTGATGGCGTGGGCGCACCAATTTCGAATTCTCTGTCGATCCTTCCAGCTCTACGTAATGAAGCATCAACCAAGTCTGGTTTTGAACTTGTAGTTATCAATAAAGTGTTGATATCACTTTCTTGTAAATTATCGATTTCTTGAATTAATGTTGCTAGCAATCGTTTTTCATTCTCCGAATTGGATTTCTTTGTGCACAATATATCGATATCTTCGATAAGAATTACACTCGGAGAAAAAGATTTCGCTTCAGTAAATAACTGACTTAGTTTTTTATCTCCTTCTCCAAAATATTTACTGTAAATATCACTTGCTTTTATTACAAATACATTCACATCATATTCTGATATAAGTGCATTTGCTATTGCTGATTTACCAACTCCAATTGGTCCATAAATTAGTATTCCTTTACTAAATTTAAAACCTTTTAAAACTTTTTTGTATTTTCCTAATACAATATTAAATACATCCTTCAACTCGTTCAGAAGATGTTGATAACCACCAATGTCTCGAAGGGTAGTCATTAATTTTTGCTTTGGAATCTTTATTTCATCTTCATCACCAATTATTGTCCATTTGGTGCTATCCAATGCTTCATAAAATTTAGGTACATCTTCAATCTGCAGCACGCTTTCAAGTTGTTCAATCAATTCATCATTAAGAGTATCATTTAAATTTTTCTCTTTGTTTTCAGTATTATGTGAATTTTTCTCCTGGTCTCCATTAATATCTACGATTTTGAATAATAAATGCTTGCCAAAAAATGGAACCTTTATGCGATTTCCAACACAAAAAACTTGACGGTTATGGAGAGTTTTTATTTGAGCTCTAGTTTCTGGAACTATTTTTGGTCTTGATTCTTTTCCAATATATTCTATTACAATTTCTTTGGCAGTAGTAGGTTTTCGAGTAAATCTTTGAACTGTTATCCGATCTTTTAGTTGGTAAAAATCTATAGCTATAAAAGAGTAATGGCAATTATTAAATATTAATCATTTGAATATTTTTACATTTTTAAATTTTAAATAATATTTACTTTGTTTCGTCAAACAGACACTTGTCAAACTGTTAGACTTAGTCACCCAAGCAATTTTAGAAAAAATGCAATTTCTATTCTTAATAATAACCCAATCTCCGATTGCTATTTGACACAATTCTAAAGCTGATTGAGACATAAAAACCATATTATGCGTATCTTTTTCTTCTATATTTGGTGGCAAATCTGAAAAAAAATAAATGAAAAGAGTAAATAAAAGTATAAGATAAAAATGTTGAATTGTGGTAGATATTTTCACTTTTTACCTTTTGGGCAGTAAACTTCTACAAAACTGTACAGAATATTATTTTTGATATAATCGTGAGTCACTTCTTCTTCGGAATGACAACAAGCCTCTGAATGCAAGTTTGTGTCTTTTTGAGATAAAGTTATGTGGCATCTATCACAAGTTACCCAAAGTGTTGAGTTCAAACTTTTTCGTGTTTTAGCTGACATTTTTGTAAAGTAGGCGAATAGAATATAATTATATGAAACTCACATATAAATCGGATAAATAAAAAACTATTCAAGTGTAAACAACACAAACATAACCTATCTCAACTTCGAATTGATTGACACTAGGAGTTATGACTGACACTAGGATACATTCACACGTCTTATTTCTCTATTTTTAATTGATTCAGTCATTTTTAATAAAAAATTTCTTTTAAAATATCTTTTATTGTTCTTATATTTTACAATATGATCTTCTGAGCTTCTTTAGGGCGAAGAAAAGAATGAGAAAATCCACGCGATCTCAAAATTTTCCACCACTCTGTCGCCCAGTAACTAGCGCCACATAGTGGCCGCATAATAAACTAACTATAAAAATAATTAAATATGAATTAAAAAACAAGAAATAAATAAATAATGGGTGCGTAAAAAAATTCCTTAAAAAATTAATACATAGTAATTTTCTATTGTCTTGTTTAAATGGACATCTTAATTTCGAGAAATACTGTATTCTACGAGCTTCCGTATCTCTCTGCGCACGCATCCACGAGATTAACTTGATAAATTGCGCGTGCGCAAATTTTGAAAAAATATTGCGTGAAGAGGATTACGTACCAACATATTGCGGTTTCCGAGATAGTGGATTAGGTCCTAACTGACACATTCATCCAATAACTTTTTGTAAAATTCACTTCGTAATAAGTTGTTTATCCATGTCATGTTATTTCTTTGACTTAGATTGAGTACAATTTTTGAGTACTACATTATCTTTTTGACTCTGGTACAATCTTCTTTTTGCTTTTAATTTATTTGCAGTTTTAAGAATAGGATATCTTTAATTATTACATGAACATAAATGAAAATTTTAAATGCCTTTATCTTATTCTCACATAAGATAAACTATTATTCTTCTATTCTTAAATCATTATAAAAATAATATTATTAACATGATAAATTAAGCTATTTTTATTTTATACATCCAATTCTTGATAATATTGATGATTTCATTCTGCGCAATATTTAAATCATGATTAATTATTTTAAGAAAAATCATTTCGTTCCCCATCATTGCAACACCTCTATAAATCTACAAATCTATTATAAATAAAATTGCCTATAAATAATTATGAGACCCTGCATTTACGCACCACTTAAAAAATAATCACTTAAGCTAACGAAACTTTTATCCAGAGCATTGACAACCGTGTTAGTGATCACACTTTGTGAAGAATATTCCAACGTTCTATCATTATTTTCCTAAACATTATTATACTTTATCTAATTGTTCTCCAACAAATGATTCACTCTATAAGACATTTATTGTTGATTAGCTTTATTTTCATAAATTTAATTTACTTTCAATCTGGTTGGTGTTAATTGAAACATTAAAATTGAATATTTTTTTAATAATAGTTTAGCACAATAATAAACTATTAAATTTTTTAGTTATAGTTGAAAGTAAAATTGATGACACTGATGAATTCGAGAGAGAGTCTGCTGATGCACCCACAAGATCATTCTATTGTTGTGCCAGACATGAAAAGAAGATTGGCGTGGGCCATGGTAAGTAATTATTTGTCTCATTTAATTAAAAAAAAAAACATTAAATACTGCATAACAATTGGATATTAAGTTGATGACATTTAGGGTGGTAATGAAGTCTATGCTTATTTAGCCGGATGTAAGAAATAGAAGCCAACAATATGGCTTTCAATCATATGTACATGTATCAATTGAAGTGTGCGACGCACCTACATGAGCTACTCATGATAAAACTGTTCATCCGGTTCATGTTATACTAGTTGCCCTTCTGCGTATCTCACACTGATGGCCTGGTTTCGTTATTACATACTTTAATAATTAATCCGGTTATTCATTTTTAGGTCTATCAGGTGAAATAATCACTGTCGATGTAGGACACTGTCGAAAGGTTTGTCCACGTCATGCTACAGATGATCCCGGAGACCCAAGCAAGCCGGCAGTTCAAGTAGGTCATGTCTTCCATAAATTTGTCTGACACTTTGGTGACCTAATGAACGTTATGCTCTTTGTTCAAATTTTCTAGCGGTGTCCCCTTCACTCGCAATGTTATCCAAGATTTTCACGGATGGAACGAATTTCTACACTTCAAGGAGTAAAAATAATCGAGACTATTGATAATTGTGATTGTTCATTAGAGTCTGAATGCCGACGAGTTTCCTTCGAACAATTGATTCATTCAGGAACACCATATCAAGTTAACATAGATACTGGTCTCTGTATAGGAACATGTCCTAAAGGTGATTCAATATGAAATTCATAAAAAAGCTGCTAACGTGATTTTATTTAAAAAAATTAAATTCTTGAGAGAATTCACTGTCAGATTGAATATATTTTTTATAGTTGAAGGCTTAAAAGTTTTTATAATAAAAAATTAGCTTCAAACTTTTTATTGTTATGTGAATGATTTATTGATACATGAAGAATTATTTTAAGTAGTTATTTACATCAAGAATTCAATGGCAATAATTAAACTCAATTTGAAATGTTTTTGATGCTGCTATCACTTAAAATTGATGGATGATTAGTGCTTGGTTGTAAACCCATTAAAAACCGCACTGTCAGCATAAAAGGTCCAAATGGTTGGTAGCTAACGGTTAAGACATGATAGTAAAGGTTTATTTATTTGTATGAACACTTAAAGAATTTTTTTTTGATAAATTCATTAGGTGATGAAATATATCAAGTGATTGAAAAATGTGGCTGTGCTGAAAGCTGTCATCGAATGGATCGAACTGAAAGTTTTCTTGACTATAGCCAGCTTGAAATAAAACAAGGAAGTAATACAAGTGATGTTCGACCAACTGTTAGAGTAATTAATAACAACAATAATATAACTGGCTTTTAATAAAATTCGTTTATTCTTACATTTGATTATTTAATGACAGCATATAAACGTTGGAGAATGTGTTGGTTCTTGTCCTGGAAACCGAACAGAAACGTGTCTTCTACGAGATAAAAAAGATCCCATAAGATGTCTGGCCGGTCTATATTCAAAGCAACATAACTGCACACCAGCACGGTTTAAAGTTCATGAATATCGGTAATTATGTAATTTTACACCATCATCCTATTATTTTCTGGCATCTTTATAGATGCATTATATATTCTTTGCTAAAATAAATTTTGTTTTAGAACACGAAGAGGCTCTAAAAGGGAAATTATTCAAATTGTTGAATGCGCTTGCGTCTGATTGGGTAGAAATAGACTACAAAAAGTGCAAGGTCAGGATGAAATAAAGAATATTAGAAAGAATTCTTTATATTAATGGACGTCTAGTTTGTCTTTTTTTGTAATATATTAACGTTACTTAAACTGATGATCAGCAGTCATTAATGATTTTTATTGTTCTCTGCGTAAAATTGCAGATCATTCCAAAGCGTCACGGTCATCTCTTCGAGATCTTTTGGTGCCGCGTCACCATCAACCTTTTTTTATATCTCTTTCATGAAGTTTGTGACACCATATATGGCTGAGCAGTTACATCCTTTTTGTTGACCGAATTTAGCGAATTCTGTGGTTTATTACTATCATCAACGGTATTCTTTTGAGATGGAGAATCATATTTGTCTACCGGAACTACACCTTTCTGTTGAGAAATTGAAAAAATGAAAAATATTATAAATATACTACAAATTATTTCCAAAATGTAGTTATTAAAAATATTGTAACATAATTTACCAAGATATTTTCTTCATGAAAAGCTTCAGCAAGTGATGGATTTATGTTTATTAAGGGTTCATCTCCATGCCTTATGTATACCGCAATATAGCCGGGTTTATGTTCCAAGATCTGCAAGGGTTTTGAATCTTGAAGAAAGAAAAAACATAAATTACTATACAAATCAACGTGTCATTTGTTTCAAATGAAATGAAATTCACTCTCAAATATATTTTTATTATTAAAACAGAGTTTTAAAAAGTTACAATTAAATAAAATCTATTAGTCAAAACTACTGGTCAATAGTCCAACTACCAATGTGAATTATTAATGAAAATATAGATTTGAATAAAATTTATTTTCTATTTAACAATTGGTAATCATTTATCGATAAATTGATCACGTAACTGATAGCCTTTGAAAAGAATTGATTATTTTATATCAATTAGCATACATTTAACTACACAGGAAAAATAACTTGTTATTGACATACTCTTTAATAATTTATGATTCATAAAAAGATTTATAAAAACAATTTTTTAATATTAAAGAAAAAAAAATTTCAATAGTTAAATAAAATAAAAAAATGTTTTATTCACTGTAATGAATATGATTTCTTTTAATGATTTTTTTTTGTAAAACTTACATGTAAAATTGTTATCTAAAATACTTATAATTAATAAAAAACTTGTAATAAAAAAACTGACAGTTATCTTAGTCATAATTTGGAGATTTGAGCGGTAAAACTACGCACGACTAACTGAAACTTTTGCTCAAGTTGCTCATGAGTTTATATCAGCTTTCTCCTACCAGTCTCACCTTTGTCGAATGAGAAAAGTATTATATCTACCTTGACTTTATGTGTTGTGTCTATCATAAGATAATAGAAGTCAGCGAGTATTATAGCCTACAGGTACATTTCACTTAAGTTAAAAGGATTCTTTATTGATGATGGTAATGCATTAATTTAATATTCATTATAATCATTCTCCTCATCAGTATTAATAGGATTGACGAATTGCTAATTGGATTTATCTTTCTTCAATCGTAATTATATTTGTTAACATTCTTTAATGTAGTAAAAGATATTATATGAGGTTGAAAAGATCATAATGTCTTCTCATTGGAGATTTATTATAAATCTATTCAATTAATGATATTTGAACAATCGTTAAAGCAAACAGTAATGATGTTTACATGAGAATACAGGATAAAAAATATTATTACAGTTATTTATTGACTCAACACAGCTGTTCATGTTTATGTAAAAAATTGACTTTGAAAATTTCATTTTTTAATATTTAATAGGTTGTTTAATCATAAATGTTATTAAGTCAGAAAATTTTTATTATTTTACCTTCTTCGGGTTAGATGTTGACATGAATATATCAGTCATGCCAGAGGGATTCAGATTCCATGATCAAATGTTTGGTTATGTTAATGACCTATTTCTATTTTTGCACATAATTCGGATAAGTAGTAGTTTATTATAAATTTTCTTAGATTCTCAAAGTTTCGAATTTGCCGCTCACGTTTCTTTGAAGAGCCAGACCAGCTGCATCAACACTTTGTGTATATTCTACCGACAAAACAATACGTTGGCTTAACTATTCATTTTTTATATCGAAAATAGATTACATTGATAACTGAATTCTTTTATTTTTGTATAATGAATATAAATTCAAATTGTTGACAAATTTATGTAAATTGAATAATGGATAAATCATCAGAAATGATAAGTGAAGGAACTATCGTAGAAGTTAACCAACAAGAAGATGAAGGAAACATACAATCAAAATTATCATTTGAAGATGCTATTTTATCACGATTAGTTTATTCATCAGCAGTATTTAAAAGTCAACAAAAAGATGAACCTGAACTGTCAATAGAAGAGAAGAAAAAAATTGCATCTAACCTCCTAAATAAAAGTCATGCTCAATTTCTCTCTCGTTTTGGCAAATATTTAAATAATAATTTACTAGAGTACTTTTCTATCATTGATAAAAATGATTATGAAGTAATTCATCATGTAAATAAATTGAAAAGGTATTTCAACAATGACAGAAGAGAAATGGATACGAAAAATAGGAGATATGAAGCTTTGAAAACATTGATAGAAAAAGGAGAATATTTTAGTGAAACTGCAATGATGAATAGAAATCCATTGCTGTATGATAATCTCATAGGAAAATATCTTACTGAAGCCGAGAAAAAAGCTAGAGATAGTGTCAATGAAAAAGACAATACGCTGGTCAATAGGTTGATGAAAGGAATTGATAAAGACGAAGCTGACGAATTAAAAAAACGACAAGAAGATGCTGAAAATGATGTTTTAGAGGAAACTGATTCTGATTCAGAGACTGAAGAAGATGCTGACACTGATGAAACTGATACACAATCATTAAAGCATAAGACAAATAAAAATGTACTACCTCAGGAAAATAAAAATATAGGTAACAAACCTTCATCATCATGGGGTAACATTCCAGAACCTGATAAAGAAATTGATGAGAATGAATCTACAACAAGTAAAGCACTTACAAGGGAATATATTTCTTCAAAGGAGCAGAAAATTCTCAGAGAAGAATTTATATCTCACATGTATCAGACTTTTCTAGATGGCAAAGATTCTGAATTTGATTACAGGTATAATTAAATTAATATTTTATTTTTTTGTCATTATTGTATCTAATAATTGTTACATTTTTTTTAGTACTGTTGACGATAATGAAGCATATGATAATCTTGACATAAAAACCCATGATGAAGAGGAAAAATATTTTGATTCTGAATCTCCAGAATGGGTTGCTTCACCTAAAACTCAGGATAAGATACAGGATGATGAATCTGAGGATGAGTTGGATAAATATATGAACTCACTCAAGGTCGAATAATATTAATATAATGGATAAATATTTATTCAATTTATGGAGAACGAGGTACTGAAAATATTATAATTTATTTGCTTTAGGAGCAATCTCATATCGACGAAGATCGTCTTAGGAGTAGCTCATCTTAATTAAAGTCTTCAATATTTTTTATACTCTCTTAATTAATTTATTGTTATAAAAATTGTTTAAAATTTAAGTTTATATAAATAAAAAATTTCAAAAAGTTTCACAAATTCGCGCATTTTTAAATAATTATTGACAACTTAATAAATTTTATCACAAGTACCAATACATAAAAATTAAAAAGTGAGTGGCGCCTCCTCATTGACAAATCTAGTAGGAGATGTTAATGTATTGGAGTATCATTTGTGAGTTAGTGTGTACAGTGGGTGGGCAAATTTTATTAATTCATTATTAAATAATGGTAGGTATTTTTTGAAATAACCCCTAGTAATGTTATTAGTTCAATGTATTTGCTTTATTTATCCATAACTACATTAGTAAAGTATTTCTATGTATTGTAAAAAAAATACTGGATGTCGGAGGTTACATACCACTGTTTTATTCTGTCATTTATTTTAATCAACTTGTTGGTATGCTTACAAAATCTGTAAAAGATTTAATGTACTTATGATTATGCTTCTTATTTAAATATAAATAAAATCTAAAACATTTTATAATTTTACTCTATTTATCAAGCATAACCTTGTCTTTTTTTTAAATCATTTTTTAAAATGTAGAAATATCATTTCTTAGTAAATTACTATACTAGCTAAACAAGTAGCTTTTCTTTCCGGAATATTGATAATAATTTGTAATGCATTGAATAATGGTATGAATAGTTTTTTAAATAATGTAGTGCATGTTGTTAATTTTGGCTTGACTGGCATGACTACCTGGTATTCCTGGTAGGTATCTTTATTTTTTTCCCAGCCGATTACATCTGTGATGACTGGCTTGGAGGAGCAAGAAAAACTATTGGAAGATGCAATTGGAGTCGTTAAAGTCCAGGCACTGCAGATGAAGTTTTGCTTAGACAATGCCAAACTTATGGATGCCTTGAAACATGCTTCAACTATGCTTGGAGAACTGAGAACCTCTCTTTTAAGTCCGAAAAGCTATTACGAATTGTGTATCCTTTAGTTAACATACGGAATACTTAATATTAATCATTTTTTTATTCATCAATTTATTATCATCATGTCATCAGGAATTCGTAATAAATATCAATTAAAAGTTATATTGAAATCCTTACATTATGCATAAACAGATATGGCCATCACTGATGAACTTCGACATTTAGAATTATATTTATTAGACCAATATCAAAAGGGAAAAAAAGTAACAGATTTGTACGAACTCGTCCAATATGCCGGGAATATTGTTCCTCGTCTGTAAGTAAATTATAAAAGTCCGTAACTTAATTATCATTTTTCTGCTTTTATCATTAAAAAAAAATTTTCCGTTTTTATTATCAACGATTTTTATTATTCATTTTCTTGTTTCAGATATCTACTTATTACAGTTGGATTAGTATATATAAAAACCAATCCGTGCCTCAAAAGAGATTTATTGCGAGATTTAGTTGAAATGTGCCGTGGAGTACAGCATCCATTAAGGGGTTTATTTCTACGTAATTATTTGCTACAATGTACGCGAAATATATTGCCTGATGTAATAGAAGGAGATGATGAAGAAGGAACTGTAAGTTTTAATATTACTTTCAGTTTCAAAAATTTTAATATTATATTATTTTTTATTTTAAATAATATAATTATAGGTTCGTGATAGTATAGATTTTGTACTCATGAATTTTGCTGAAATGAACAAATTATGGGTTCGTATGCAGCATCAAGGTCACAGTAGAGATAAAGAACGAAGAGAACGTGAACGAGAAGAATTAAAAATTCTAGTGGGTACAAATCTTGTAAGATTGAGCCAATTGGAGTCTGTGACTCTAGAAATTTATAAAAAATTAGTGTTACCGGGAATTTTGGAACAAGTTGTAAGCTGTAGAGATGCAATTGCTCAAGAATACTTGATGGAATGTATCATTCAAGTAAGAAATAATCATTTTTGTCATTATCATTATTGATATTAAATTTGAAAACAATATTTTTTTTTTTTTTTTCATTGATTTCTGAATCATAAATAAATAATCATAATATTTTACTAGGTATTTCCAGATGAATTTCATTTGCAAACTCTAAATCCTTTTTTAAAATCATGTGCTGAATTACACAGTGGAGTAAATGTTAAAAATATAATAATATCATTGATTGATCGTCTGGCGTCGTTTAGTCAACGATCGGATGGAGTAGGTGGCCCCGGAAGTCCTGGTCAAGCTCTAGGAATTCCACAAGATGTACAATTGTTTGATGTTTTTAGTGATCAAGTTGCAACAATTATCCAGGTAAAAGTGCATTCATTATTATTTAAACACAATTATAACCTATTAGATATTTATAAATTATTAATTAAGAGTAAATGAAGATATTACTCCATAATATGTATTACTGTTATTTTTTTTTTTTTTTAACCTAATGCTATTTAAAAGTAGTTAAATGCTTAAAGACAAACATATTGTAGGATTTATGAGTTAAAAAAATGAAGCGCAACCTAATTAGTTCTTTTTGTCGATACTAAAAAAAAAACCATGGTAATACATATATTGGAGTGATAGTCTTACTCACGCGATCAATGATGACTGGATACTGCACAGGACGACTGAAAAAATTTGTGAAGTTTATAAATAAACATAGCTCTTACTCATCTAGTTTAAGTCTGAGATAATGAAATATTGTATAAATATTAAATTTCTTTAGTATAATTTATTATTCTTACTATTTGATATATTCTTTTACAGACCAGACAAGATATGCCACCTGAAGATATCGTTTCACTCCAAGTAGCGTTAATTAATCTGGCTCACAAATGTTATCCCGATCGTGTGGATTATGTTGATAAAGTTTTAAACACAACTGTTCAGATATTCCAAAAATTAAATATAGAAAAGTAAGTTATTTAATGAACTATTAAATAACTCTTATGGTAATAATGAATTTAAATTATTTGTTATAATTTACAGTTTGGAGTATAACAGTGCTGTATCGAGAGAGCTCTCCAGACTGATGAAGATACCTGTTGATAATTACAAAAATATCTTAACCGTCTTAAAATTAGAGAATTATGCACCACTTTTGGAGTATTTTGATTATGAAGGAAGAAAGTCATTAGCTATTTATATTATTTCAAATATATTAGATAATGAAACGTTAATTCCTACCCAAGAACAAGTTGATATTGTTTTATCAATGGTATCACCCTTGGTCCAAGATCAACCGGATCAACCAAATATTGAAGAAGATCCGGAAGATTTTGCAGAAGAGCAGGGATATCTTGGACGATTGATTCATCATTTCAAATCAGAAACTGCCGATCAACAGTATATGATTTTGAGTGCTGCTCGAAAACATTTCAGTGCTGGTGGTAACAAGCGAATAAAATACACTCTTCCTGCAATCGTTTTTCAAGCATATCAACTTGCTTTTACTTATAAAGCAATAAAAGATCAGGACGATATGTGGCAGAAAAAATGTCAAAAAATATTCCAATTTTGTCATGCCACAATAACAGCTTTAATGAAGGCAGAGTTTGCAGAATTACCACTCAGATTATTCCTTCAAGGTGCTTTGGCCATTGGAGAAATTCGATTTGAAAATTTCGAAATGGTAGCTTATGAATTCATGAGCCAAGGATTTTCAATATATGAAGATGAAATCAGTGATTCTAAAGCTCAGTTAGCAGCGATCACTTTAATTATTGCAACTTTTGAACAAATGAGCTGCTTTAATGAAGAAAATGCAGAACCAGTAAGAAATCAGTGTGCTCTTTATGCAAGTAAACTATTACGAAAACCAGATCAATGTAGAGGTGTGGCAACATGTTCACACATATTTTGGTCCGGAAAATCTTTGGCAACAGGAGGAAAAGAGGTAAAAGATTTCTATATTTTTTCATTCACATGTTGAGTAGTTCTATTTAATCAAGTATTGATCTTTTATCTGATATTAGATGCAAGATGGAAATAAAGTATTAGATTGTCTCAAAAAAGGAATTCGAATTGCAAATCAATGTATGGACACGTCAGTACAAGTCCAACTTTATGTTGAATTACTTAATCATTACATCTATTTTTATGAAAAAGGAAATACATCGGTAAGTAAAATATCATTCTAGTATTTAAATATTAGATAATTTATCTTTCTCTATAGATTGATAATAAGTAAGATATGTTCATTCATGATTATTTTTATAGGTCACGGTACAAATATTGAACCAAGTGATTGCAAAAATAAAAGAAGAACTCCCTAACTTAGGAATAAGTGAAGAAACCGAACAAATTCAAAAGCATTTAGCAAACACTTTAGAACATTTAAGAAATAGAATGAAACTTTCTGATTCCGAAGGACAACCCTACCATGGTCTTGTTTTATAATTTTCAAATTTTCTGAAATTGATTTGTTGTACGAATTTTGTTACGTTTTGGAGCCAATCTGGCTGGTACAGTAGTTTTTTCAACGAGACTTTTTTCTTTATTACATCGCCTTGGTGCTACCATTAACGCCTACAACAACCTCGGGCTCAAGCCACGGATGTCGCGCTTTAGGCTCAAAATTCTATTGCTAATATTCTTAGAAAGCTTATTCTGAAGAACAACTCTACCATGATCTTGTTTTGAAATTTTAAAATTTTCTGAAATGAATTTGTAAATATGCTGTAACAAATTGGAGTGGAGCATCATGTTTGTAAAAATTTCTTCAAATTTTTTGGTAAAAAATTCATTAAATTGGTGACTAATTGTTGGATATTTTATAATGATTCGATCATTAATATCTTGCACTAATACAATTAGTATTTAAAACTAATCTAATAAATCATCTACCATTTTACATTGTCGTTTTTATGATTCTGAATCAGATTTTGATAAAAAAGTTATTATATACTGTATAGGAATTAAAAGTGAGAGGCAGCTTAGAGTAACAGCATCTTTTTGGAAGTTTTTTTAATAGTAGGGATTAATTCCTGCTTATTTTTATTAATGAGGAATAATTATTTTAAAATTAATATGGTAACATTGGCTGTTTAATTTACGTTATTCAAAGCTGTTTTCCCTTCTGCATTAGTTTTTTAATGCCCCGAAAAGTATTGGTATTATAGAAATTTTAATGTATAAACTTTTATCTGTATATTTGTTAAAATAAAATACTAGTTGCAAATACTAAGTAAATTAATGATTTTTTAATGATACTAAAAAATAAGTGATAGCTTCTATATATAAAATCAAATACAATAAGAAAACGGAAAACGTTGGAAAATCCAAAAGTTTCATTTTTTTTTATGAAATTGAATGAAGCAGGATATATGTATATATACACTCTATGTTGCTTCGTCGTCGCTTAGTAGTGAAACGGAGCGCAGAACACAACAATTTGTTTTCCTCATTTACTTGCGTTCAGTTGTGTGAGAAAGTGTTACTGCGCTCATTTTTCTGTGTTAAATACACAAATTGGTGTAAAAAAAACTTCGAAATAGTAAAATATAAAATTGTCTTTTAAAAAAAACATTGACATTTTGTTGATTTTTATTATAACTCAGTGGTTTTACTATTTTGGAGGTTATGTTTATTTTTGTTGATTGTTTTGTACTTAAATTTATTAAAGTTTGTAAAACTCTAAAATATATTTAAAAATGGATTTACCAATTGAGGTTTGTCTAATGTATTCTTTAGTTTATTGTTTTTACTCTAATTAAATTTCAATAGCTAAATATTTATATTTTGTATGTTTACATTTCCAGAATACTTATGGTTTTTTTCGAGTGGACGAACGATGTAAAAAACTCGAACGAACTGTAAAAATGCTTCAATTAAAACAACTCGAGAAAAAAAATACTGAAAACGGCACTCCTGAAATAGGAACAAACATTTCAAGTATAAATGGAGATGCTTTTGATACTAGCTATGCCTATTCATCTAAATTAGGAAGTGAAATAGTATCTTCTAGTTCAAATATAAAAAATTTGTTAGGACACAAAATGAATTTATTCAAAAATAATAATAATATCGCAACTTCGAGTGTTAAAAACAGCCCTGACAATGACTCAGCAAGAGCTATTATGCCACCACCAAAGAGTATTCCAGTTTTTGGTAATTCATCAAGAAAAAATGCTTTAACAACTTGTGAGGCTTCTATATCAAATCAAAAACATGATCCTACTGGATTAGGATCTGATTGTTTTCATCCAACTTTAAGTGTTATTTCTTCTATTAAATGTCCAAGTTCACATCAGGCAAATCCTCCTATAAAATATGCAACAGATATTGAAAATACTCAGAAAAATGTGTCAGACATTACTAAACCAGATAGAATTTTTGAACGATGGAAAGTTATGATCAACGATAAAGGTCAGCTCATTATTAAAGGAATACTCAAAGATTGTAAAAAAAATGTCAGAAGTAAACCCGTTATTAGAAGAATTAATGCATCTGTTGTTCAATCGTGTTTTAATCATATTTATGAACTTCAAGGTCGTATTTATGACGATCAACATGAATTACCAGAATATATTCGGGGGAAATTTTATAATGGATTCCCTGATGATTGGGAAAATGTTTTCCAATTATGGAGAAGTTACATTTCTGGTGGATGCAAACCTTCTTTTAGATGGCCTACACCAGTAACTGATAGTGATGACGACTTGAAAAGTGACATTACTGAATTGCCATACTCTCAAGAAGAAAAAAGATCTCATAGTCATACTCAAAATTGGCATGATTCTATTCCTCTTGAGAAAACACTGAAAAAACTTCCAGAAAAAGCTTCATCTGAATCTTCAAAAATTATCACGGAAAATCTCAAATCGTCAGGAAAAAAAATTCAAAATGTCGCTAAAGATTCACCTAAAAAAACTATCAGTCTATCTGAAGAAACGGATGATACACCTGCAGGAGTAAATTTATTCCTGGAAAAAATGCATGATCAGTATTTTAATAATTCACCTTCAACAAATCCTACAATTGATGAAGATATCTCTAATGCTGTTGCTAAAATTTTGAATAACAAAAATTGCTCTATTGAATATATTGATAAGATTATTGAAATGTTTAATTGTTATAAATATGTTATTACGTCAAAGTCTCACAATTCATCTGCAAATGTTACTCATAACAATTCCAATATTTCTACAACTGAAAAAGCTCCTTCAATAGAGCATGCATCTAAAAATTCAAATATGACTTATACAAAAGTACAACATTGTACACCCAAAGATTTAAATCAACACTCAGTTCAAAATCACAGTTATAATTATGACAGTGTATCAAAACCTTCTCCAAGTGGATCCAATGTACCAAGTATTGGGAAAGTTCGTAGAAAATTAGACAAAAAAGATTATGATAGTTCTGAACTATCAGATAGTGATACTGAAATTCGAAGACGAAAATCTCCAAGAAAAGTTTCTAAAATGTACAAGAATCGGAAAATTAGCAAAGCAATGTCTAATAAGAAACAGCCATTGCGAAGATTAAATGAAGATAGTGATGATGACTATGTTCCAAAGAAAGTTGTATATCCCAATTCAAAAAATGTTCACGAAAGTCAGCCCGTAAATAATGTTCATACTCCAATGCATGAAGTAGACTCTGAAGGTTTTATGAAACCTATACCAAAAGTTCAGTCTGTAAATATATCAAATAATCCTATAAATGCAAATTTACCACCATCAAAGTACCATCGACAACAGAAAGCTGATTCTCCATCCACAATAACAGGATTTTTAGCGAACTATGATTCATGTGTAAGCATTTCTGAAGATGATCGAAGAGTTCGTACTCCTCGACCAAAGTTAGATGATAGAAGAACAGTTAATGATATAGATGGAAAAACTTTATCATCTTTCAAATTAAAATTAAATCAAAAAAATTCTAATTGTTATTACGATTCTAGTGTAAGTATAACTGAAGATGAAATTAATTATACAGATAATAGAATGAATGGACCTGATATAAAGAAGCAAGTCCTTCAAGAACCGAATATACAATGCTTTCAACAAATGTTAAAAAGAAATTTGAAGGATAAAACAAGTAATACAGGATTTTTTGATAAAAGAAATTCACAAGATCATTCAGCAATTAAAGAGCAGTCTTCATCATCACAAACAAAAGAACAGAAAGATTTTGCTTTTTCTAAACATCTCAGTCCTAATTTGAATGATAATAAAGAAAATACATTACATCAAATTCAAACAGAAAATCAATCAAATCAACATCTTTCTGGAAACTATCAAATGAGTGCTAATAAACCTCATCAACTACAAGACAAAATAAAACCGTCAATTATCAGTGTTGAAAAAGTATCGTATGAAGTTGATGATTTTTTATTAAATACATATTGTCAAAAAGAATCAATTAAAAATGATTCTTCAAAAAATAAAAAAAATGAAAGTGATTTAAAAGAAAACAATAGTTTACCAATTCTTTCAACTTCAAATAATATTTCTGATGCCGTAAATTCTAAGTCTTTGGAAATAGATTTTAAAATGGCATGTAAAGATGTAAGTGTGCAACTAGAGGACATAAAAAATACACTAAAACTTAAACCAAATACTTCGAAGAATGCTAATGACGATAAAAGTAGTGAAAAAGTCATTTTTGGATCCGAAGAAAATCCTAAACAATTAATGAGTTGGTTTCCAAATGTCATAAAAAAAGCTGATTCAACTTATGGTCTAATTTTTGAAGGTAAACTTCTCAACGAGGCAGGTCATGTAGTGAATAAAAAATTTAGAACTAGTTTTATTGTTAAAAGAGTATCCTTGAAAGTAGTAAAAACAGATAAAAACGAATTCTATCAACTCATTGGTGATTTAATTGATACAAAACACGTAATTCCTAAAGAGTTACATAAGTACTGCATTAATGGATGTCCTGGACAAATTACCAAGTTCTGTGAAAAATGGAAGAGTATACTTGACAAATCTAATGAATTGGATGGAACAATAAACAGAATTGATATGACGAGTGCACCTCAGAGCTCACGAGGAAGACGTATTTTGCCTGCTTTATCATACTGGTCTGGTGAAAGATTAAGTGTAAAGGGTAAAAATACTGTATATACTCCACCAAGATCTCTGTGCACTTCCCTTGAAATATCTCAACAAGATTGTTCGTTATTGGTGAAGAAAAATCTAAGTAATTCAGAGCAACGAGACAAACAGAAAAGTTTTAATAAAGAAAAAGAAAATATTGTTAATGAACAGATTATAGAAAATAATAAACAACTGAAAGAAATTACTGGGTATAAGAAGAAAAAAGATGAAATAAAATTGCGCAGAAGTTATCGAAAACGAAAAGAATCAGTAAAATCAAAGAAGCAAGTTAAAGATAGTGATTCCAGTAGTGAAGAAGAACGTCCAGTATCAAAGAGACGAAGGAGTGGATATAATGATGCACAGAAGCAAAGAAATTCACAGGAGGGTTTAAATAATAATGATAATGACAAGAAATCTAGTTTCGAAAAAAACGAAGAAAAAAAATTGAAACGTGGAAAAAATATTGGCGATAAACAGAATATTAGCCCAATGAATTCAAATGAAGTTATTGTTAAATATTATAAAACTACTTCATGTAAAAATGATTTATCCGAATATGAATCAAGTATTTTAGGGTAAAAAATATTTATAAATAATTAAATTTGCGTTTGGAGGATAATTTTTATTATGAATAATAATAATATACAGCAACAGTTTTGCTAACTTTCATCATAGAGAGGAGTACCATCACCACTAAGCGACATACTCCGAGGACTAGAATTTGTATGTGGAGTTCCTCGGGGTGATTTATAAGATGGCGTCCTTCCTGATTGACGATTCCGATGACTTGATCGGCTCATTGCATCTTCGTATCCTCGAGGTGTTTTCCTCACATCGTCATACCTCGGAGTGCTGTTACTGTAATAAAATTGAATAATTAAATTTAATTAATTACTTTTACTTTTTAATATTAAATCTAATTAAATGTATCATTAATTTAATGGTTGATAATCAAATGTATTATGTACAGTCAATTGTAATATTAATAATAAAACATAGTCTATGAACTATTTTTTATCAAAAACTTAAAGAATTTGTACTTACGATCCTCTTGGAGTCGTTTGTTTAAGTCGAGCCCAAGCTTCAGCAGCTTTTTTCCAATCTGTAGGATCTTGTGAATTACCAGAAGGTGTCTGTCGATGTGGTGCTGAGCCTGGATGGAGAAATTGTTGTTGATACCTTGGAGTAGGCTGCGAATGATGTGGAGTATGGGGTGGTGCCTGATATGGCGTCATATACGGAGTTTGCCCTGAAGGAGTATACGGAGTATTTGGATATGTGTGCATTCCTCCGTATCCAGTGGCCCCCGATGCTCCAGGAGTGTGTGGAGGATAATGATGAGGAGTTTGATTGGCTACTTGTGAGAGTGAATGAAGCATATGATGAGGAAGATTTTGAGCTACCCTCTGAATAGCATCTGAGTTCATTCCTCCGACTCCAGGTGTTGTATGATACGGAGTTCGTGATGTGACAGCTCCTCGAGGTGTGCTTGGAGTAGTTTGGCCTGGAATGGGATCTCTAAAGTGTTCTTTAAACCATCGAAATAGGTCATTAACACGACCAAACATTTGACCACGAAATCTGAATCCCTCTGGTATGACTGTGACATATTCATGTCGACATCGAACTCGAGGAAGATATGATAATAAAAATTTTCCTGGATAATTTTTTGCTGCAGAAATAATATAAGGGATTCCTCCAGGGTTTTCTTTCTTTTGCTCTTTCAAAATCTCTTCAGCTTTGTCTTTAATGCCATCCACATTAACTTTATAGTATTTAAAGTCGAGTAATTCAGAAGCATAACCCGCCATCGGATTCACATGTCTTGCAATAATTTCGTCAAGATCTTCAAACTCTTCATTTCCAATCCATAAACTTTGTCCCAAGGAGAATGCATTTCCTTTACCTTCCTCTCTCACGTCGATATGTTGGTAGATATCATCAGTGACTTTCCACGTAACTGTCAGGTGATCTGCACCTTTACTGCTAGGCCTAACAATTGCTTCTCCTTGTTTCATCGTTTGCATTAACTTTTCAGCTTCCACAAAACTGATATTATGGAAAGATGGATGAACAATTACACGTTTTACATAAGTCTGTCTTTGTTTGATTTTCTTAGTATCATCTTCTAATTTAATGTCTTTTTGTTCTTCTTCTGTATCGTAAAACGGATCTCTAGAAGGTCTGAAATAGAAAAAAAAAATCATGAGCCTAAGAGTATTGAAATGTTATAGTTATTTTAAATAGTCAAATAATGAAAATTTACCTCCATTCATGTCCTTTATCAGCAAGATCACTGCTCTTACTAGTACATTCAACACTAAATCGATCGACTTCAATCTTAATAATACGACAATGAATAATTTGGCCAATAGTGACTCTTTCTTCAGGGTTTGCCACATGTTTATCAGATAAATTTTTTATATGGATGTATCCAGAAACTCCATTATCCAAACGAAGTCTTATACCAGTAGCTTTTCCAGGACAAGAGCCAGCATCAAAATGATTCCAGACTTCAGATAATTCAGGAAAATCATTTTTTAAACAAAATGGACATTGCCATAGTCCAGTCTCATCATTTCTTACAGGATTGGCTTGATCTAGTTGCTCTCCTTGAGGTTTTCGATGACTAATACCAACAACTGTGGCTAAAATTAATTTTCCGATGTAAAATGTTTCTGGACTTTCTTTAGTTAAAATGTCAAACAATTTTTCTGGACTAGGAGTCTGATATGGACTCCTAAGATCTTTATATCGACAATTTAACTCAGCTCTGATATCATACAAGGTAACACATTTATTGCCAAAGCCTTGTCTCTCTAATTCCTCGGCAAATGCATCTAAATCCAAGTCTTTTAATCGTTCTGGTGATTCTAAAATTTCTTCTAAGGCTCCAGCAGGATTAGCATCTTCATCATCATATTCTAAAGCATCCACAGCCATTTTTCTAGCCCATTCATACGTCTCAGGATGAACTCTTGAACCATCTAACACTTCAACATAAGCTTCAGTACTGTCTCCAAGGCTATTGGTATCGATCTTAATAAATCCAGCACAATTGATGAAGACTTTTGGCCCCATATGACAAGCAGTAACAAGTTGAGTTCGGTTTTCAAGCCTCTGGTTTGTTTGTTTGAGCATTTTAATTAAAGCTTGTCCTTTTCTTGGTCCTAAGCCGCAAACAAATTGAACTAAATTGCCTGCATATGCTTGTTGAACTGCTTTATTAACATCTACACCTACTTCATTAACTCTATTGACAAATTCTAAATAAAGATTTTCCAACAATTCGTCTTTTGGCAGCTGATCTTGGAGAGGATGATACTTAAGACACAAAATTTCATCATCTGGGGTGCATAATTGTGAAAATTCTACCAGAGGATCTTGAAGACGTCGAGCCAGTGAAATTGCTTGGCGCAAAAGCTCAGGATAATCTCTGAACTCAGATACACCTTTATTGCTATTAGCATAAATTTTAGCTAAATCATTGTCAACTATCTCTACTTGTATAGAAGGAAATTGCTCCTCATCAGCAAGGGTTGTAAGACATTCTTTGATGTCAGCAACTATCATTAATGCTTCTCTGGACTCTCCACCAACAACAATGACATGTGGTTTTTTTGTTGCAATAAAATTCCTTATGGCTAATAAGTCAGCTTCTTTCATGACTTTCTCATCTTCTCTAAAACTATTCTTCCTCTTTAATAAGTGAGGCAGCCTCAAATAGTCAGTGCATTCTCCATCAGGAGCTATGATGCATGTAAAAGCAGCCTGCGTATAATCTGGAACGTAAGATATTGCCATGACACGTATACCTTTACTAGTATCCCATTCTTCATCTTCTTCTTCAGGAAACTCTACTGAAAACGGAGCTATCTTAATCCAATTATACATCTTTCTACAGCACGCTCGCATCACATATTCTTTAGCTTCAGTAATAAGATTAGATTTTAATTCTTTCTTTAAATCTGGAATGACCATTTTTGTTAATGCCATTTCTACACTTCCAACTCTTAAATTATTCCAATCTTGAACATTTTTACTGAATTCATCCCTAATATATAATTGCTTCATCTCATCAACATAATTATTACTAGTATTTCCTTCAATTGTGTCACTCAATATTATAGTAATTAGTTTATCCTCCTCTGCCATGGCCAGTTTGAGGAACTGGTCTTGTTGAAGATCACGAACTGGTTTATCTTTCAAATACTTCATTGTATAAATAGGATGGTTTTCATCAATTTCCTTAATTCCTTTTTTTGTAGGTTTTACTGATAATTTTGCTCGTTCCATATACATTTCTCTTACACACTTTCTAACAAGAGGTTCACGAGCTAACTGTATTGCTACCATCAGTTGTGCTGCTTTAACAATCTCTTCTGGAGCCTTAAATTTTTTGCCAATGTAATCTTGGGCTACCACAAGAGGTTCAATAGGCTCTTGATCTACTTCATGTCGTTGATAATTATCACGAAGATTTTCAGCAAAATGTTCTGGAGTTAAACCAAATTTCTTAGCAAAGGAGTCTAAACCAGCTTTCCTACAAATTGCATATGGTCCAGTTCTTACAGCTTGTTTTAGAGTTTCATCTGGCTCTTCATCATCTTCAAGTTCAATTTCTTCATCGAAATTGACTTCCTCTCCATTTTCTTCAGCTTCCAGCAACTGCTGTTTCCTCTTTTGAATTTTTTCTTGTCTTCTGGCCTCTTTTTCTTTCTTCCGAACAGCTTCTTGCATTGCTGGGATGTCATGGCTGTAATAAAGCATGAAATGATTATGCACATCTTTCAATTCTTCACTGGTTTGTACATTTTTCAAACGATCGATATCCTCTTCTTTAATAACACGAACACTATCAGGTAAAGGAGCATCTGGATTTTTCATAATCTCATCTAATTGGAAGTTTCTCATTTTTTCAAATAATGAAAGCAAATTTTCCTTTCTTTGCTTCAATTGACACCACTTAGCATCAAATTTATACACTTTCCACAAATCATTAATGTTTAATTCAGGAAGAACATATTCTTTTCTGTAAAATGAAATAAAAGGTACTTCGAAATTTTGATTTCTCATGAAATCTAATGCTTTTTTAATTTTTCCTACAGTTTGAGGGCCTTTTCTAGATCGATCACTCATTTCACCAACAATAGAGTCCTGTAATGAAATTGTTGGACGACAAAATGCTTGTTGATAAATCCATTCTGCTTCTTTATCCAGTTCATCAGAACCTTCAGGAACTGGAGTGATTGGCATTGAGCGTAATTGCATTCTTTCTGGGATATCAGTATTACGAATTTCATTATCCATATCAGTAAAATGTCCACGTTTAAGTTCACTAGGCTCATAAATTTCAAAAATGCTTTTCCTTGTGGTCTTTTTCTTAGGTTGTTTCTTTGGCCGCTGTGGTCTTTCGCCATCTTCTTCAACATATTCATCTTCCTCTTCTTCTTCGTCTTCTTCATAATCTTCATCACCATATTTTCCAAACTCATCATAATCGAAATCAACACCGAAAATATCCTGAGCTTCTTGAAGAGCAGCATCAGAAAATATTGGTTTCTTTTTTCGTCTTTTTTCAGCGATTGGTCGGCCTTCATCATCCACAATAAAATCATCTGCGTCCGAATATTCTCCTTCACTTCCTTCGTCATCAAATGTTTTAGGTTCTTGTCTATGACTCCTTTCACTTCGTCGTTCATCCTCCTGAAAATATACATTAAAAAATAAAATCTTGATCTAACTTCGTAAACGATAAATTTATAAAGCGTTTAAAGCAAGACGAGCTCTTTTATGAATGAAGACCTACCACTAGGGCATCCCTTTCCTTTAAATTTATGATAGCACGAAATCATTATGGAGAATATTACTACACTACTTAGAAGGATAGGATGAAACTAAAAAATAATACATACGTCTCCTGAACCTCCTTCAAACAGCTCATTTGCTATTGCCTCTCTTTCCTCTCCTACTCCTTGCTCTTCTTCATCATCGGACTCTTTATCTTGTATTCGTTTCAAACGTTTGAAACGTTTCTATAAAAATTTAAATTAAGAGTAATTATAGATATTAATATTTTTTTAAGTGTAATCAAAAGAAAAGTGAAAAACTTACCCTTTCTACTGTAATACCAAGATTTTCTTCAATGAGATCGTAATCATCGTCTTCAAGTCTGTCGTCAAAATCTTCATCATCACTTTTTTTCCTTTTTTTCGAATCACCAGATGCATCACTGTCTTCACCTTCACTTTCCTCAATAGGGTTATCGTCAATTAAGTCTTTCAGCTCGTCTCTCCATTTGTCCTCATCATCTAGAAATATGATAATATCGATCGATTAAATTATATGGAAATAATTATTAAGACTTAAAAATTTTGTTATTAATATAAATTTTACAATTAGTATCTCATTAGTACTATGTGCCTATGTTAAATTTTCTATAATTTTTTTCATTACTCCAAAAGTCAAAGCTTAAATTTTCCGGAGTTAAAAGAGAAATACTTCTTAGAATACTTCTGAGAAGTCAAACCAAATATACTCATAAACTTTTATGACAATTGCAATCTACCTGAAGAAAAGTAAGAGTATGCTTCGTCTCGATTTGGATGAGCCCAAATTGAACTCAAACCAGACCTGCATCACTAAAAGACGCCCGCATAAGACCCAAATCAGAGAGGATAGACTAATCCTTCTTATCTGACCCAAACAAAGTACGAAAATATTTTGTGGAAATAATGTGTCTGTAATAGTGCATTTATGCTCGACGTCGACATATTTATTTGTTATAGGTGTCTATCTAGTTTGGGCTAGATTCTAAATTTTTACTTGAATATTACAAAAAAAACTAACCTTCTTCTTCCTCTTCACTTTCTTCCAATGTTTTTTTTGGTTTCTTTTTTCTACTTCGATCTATACCCTCATCTTCTTCCTCCTCCTCTTGCTGAAATATACAACAAATATTATCAATTATATCAAATTTTTACAAGAAATGTGTCAATCATGACGCATAATATAATTAACATAGCAAGTGGAGTTACAAATGTATTTCTGTAAATATTACTTATTTAATAATTACCTCACTTTCTTCCGCTTCTGAATCTAAAAAGTCAGCCATTGTTCACAAATATAAATAATATATTATAAATAAACAAAATAAAAATGTTTAAATATAAAGCACTAATTTTGTCAAACAACTTGATGAATATGCTTGTCCTACGGGAAATTAGCAACTGGCAACTGCAACTGATGAATGATGCCGGCGTGCGTGTAGCTCCTACCTGCCGTTATTCTAGCCTCTTTTTCATTGGTTGGCACCAATCAGACCACAGGATTGCCAACTACAAGTAATGAAATTTTTATCAATCTTTACGTACAACTGCTGCTACAACGGTTTTACTCCAGAAATATCATTTATTTGTAAACAAATAATAAGTTCATTACAAACAATAACGAAATACGACTATTTGACAGAGAAGTTCTTGTTAATATAGTTTATTGAATGTAAATATGTAGTAATACCCGTTTTTGTTTCAAAAATTCACCAGCTTCAGATCATATAAGTCAAGCAGAAATATAATTATACTTGAATTGAAATCATTACTTGAAAACGAAAGCTTCAGATTTAATTTCAACATATCTTTTAGTTTATTAAGTGTTTTACTAATTGAATAACTGATTATTTATTTTCTAAGTATTGATATATCGACTTTGAAGGTATTGGCAATTTTTGTACTTGTATGCTTTTTGTATTTTCAGTATATTAATTGTTTATAATATTTATTCAATTTTACTTTTTTCAGTAATATAATTATCCTGTGAGTGTAAAGAAAAGAAATATAACAATGTTTACATCAATTTCGAACCCGACATTGTCGAGTAATGCTGAAAATATTATGTCATCACGATCAGCAAAAGCTGTGAATGGAAAACCCAAAGGGTTATCAATAAGGTCAGAATCAGATCGAAATATTTCTTGTTCTGGCTTTAAAAATTTAGAAACTCCAAAAAAAGATTCGACGTCCAAGGTATTGTATATTTTTAGATAATATTGATTTAGCATGAATTACTCCTACGACTTCTGTGGTAATTAAAATGAGAATTTTCTTTCATTTCAACAGACTTTGAAAGTTATTCGGGAAAAACAGAAAAGCGGGCTTTCACCAGTATCAAAATCACCTCATTCTTTTGGTAGAAAGAAGTTTGGTGAAGAATTTATATTCAAGAAACCTAGTACTCCGATTCCACTTGGCAAAAAAAATATTATTAAAGAGCCAGAAACTTTAGCTGGAGGTTATTATGATCAGGAAAAAGAATTTAGTATGTAAATCTTATGGTTTCTTTCTCTTATAATTTTTTATATTTAATAAATACGTTTAATATAATTCTTCAATTCATTTTCCAGATCAAAATTTAGATAACGTTGGACTAGATAAAGAATTTACGGCATTAATCTTATCTCGTATTAATTGCACTATTAAGCCGTTTGAAGATGATTGCTTATCCGAGCCTGAAATATTGGATACACCAGAAGTCGTTGATCATCTGAAAAATATTTTTGATTTCTCAAAATGTTCTCCAAAGAAGATTAATGGTCCAGAATTACCAGAACTATCTCCTCTATAAATGAATACTTTAAATATTTAAAGAATATTTTTTTACTGCTTAAATCATAAGTGTTATTAATCAATTTGTGAAATATTTTAAGGTTTTTTATATTCATGATTATTTATTTGTAGTTTTGTAATAAAATGATAATAGGAGTAATTTTTAAGTTTAATACATTCGTAAAGTTAATGAAATAAAGAAAATTGTGAATTGTATACCATCTGGATTTTTACAAATATTAATCAAGTTAAACTTTATCTACTAATAAATTTCAAAATTAATTGAAGATTAAATTTTAACTTAACTAATGGTTGATAATCGAACCACATTTTATATTTTATTATACGAAAAATATATTTAAAATTTTTATTTCCATTAATTATACATTCTTTTGTATCATATTAATTACTTCTGAGAGTAAAAGTTATTTACAAGTAATGCAATAATGTGTATACGACTATGAACCTTTTTAAATTCACAGAACAAGATTTTCCAGAAATGGGAATATACGCTATTTTCTTAATTATTGAGTAATCTATTGTCTTATTACCAAATATACATAAAAACTGACAAATTTGTTAAATAATTGATATATTTATATGTATGAGTCAATTCGATTCTCTGATAGAGAATGTCTGGAGATTGTCTCTCTTTACATTTGGTTTGATATTCACATAAATTAATAATCGTATATAAAAAAAAGATGATTGTGAAAAAATATCGTCTACTGGAAGCAAATTAATTTTTCTTTAAAGCAGTACCGTTTAAGAATTGAATCCATTTAATGCTCAAATTTAAATCTAATAAAAGCTAACGAAAAAGGTAAAATAACAAATTATTGATAAATATGATAAGTTTTTATAACAAAAATAAAATTAATTTTTTAAGTATATAGAAATAAAAAAATTACGTTATGAGAATAAACATTGAACAAAAAAAAGCACAAAAAACACCATAAGAAAAATCAGTTTAAACAAATCATGATAAATACTGAAAATTGAAAAACTTAAGACCAAAATGATTAATCATTGATTTTAAATCATTGAGATTCTAATTTTTTGTTTTATACTCTATATCATAAGATGAATCGCTGGTAAATACTATAAATTATTTTGTATATAATAATAAACTCTTTTTATAAAATTCATTGAACATAAAAAATCAAAACTGACTGAAAAATTAAACAATTGTCATATTTTGGGATTAACCGTCATCGGCATCCCATTGAATTTGCTGTTACCGATTTGAACGTGGGCCTTCTATAACTCCAATCAATCGTTGTCGTGACTTCTTGTTATTCTGACACGCACAAGAGATTAGACCAACCAAGTGTTTTACAGAATATTCCTAAAAAATAATTATTATTATTAATCAACGAAAGTACTCTAATACTTTATACTAAACCTAAGAAAGTATTTAATAAATTTAACAAACAAATGATACTTTCTAAGTTCATTTACAATGATGGTAATTACCTTGTGTTCTTTTACCCATTCCTCAAGTGTATTTTCTGGAATATAGTACGCTTTCACATAAAGTTCTACATATTCACTATGTGGCATTGGTCTGATATTTGTAATCATTTCAAACTTAGACTTCAATTGTGTAAAATCTAACTGCATTAATCCTCTGCCACCATTTGAACATTTTTTTGTATTAGAAAAGCTATAATATATAATTTATTTATTTTGTTAGCTATTTTTTTTTAAACAATAATTTTTATAACTTATAAAAAAATACTAACCCCTCTACTAACGTATGTGTAATTAAGTGGGCAACATTTTCCCAAATAGCATTTTTAACTTCTACTGATAAAGGCACAATATAACTAATGTCTTCAAGTCGCTTTGCAAATACTTTACATTCTTGTAAAATTGAATCAACATAATCACTATGCTGAGACATGACGTCTTTTACCTCCCAATTAACTCGATTCATTAAATTTAAAATATTTGTGACATCAAAAAATTTAGATACAACAGCCATATACACAGGTTTTCGTAGATCAGTAGCAGATTCGATTGTTTGTATATAAAATTGATTTAAAAATCCTCGTTCTGGACTACTGGCTATTAATTGTTTCAGAAAACTCTGTAAACTTTCATACTGCTGTCCCAAAAAAATAAGAGATTCAACACCAACTACTCGCTCTGCCAAACCATATAATTTGTCATCTTGCGTCAGGTTTACAATTGATGATAACTGAGGACAACGAACTTTGTGGTTGGAGTTATTTGTATCCTCAGAGGTTTCATCAATAATAAGACTTTCTTTAATACGTGCTAATGTTAGCTTAAGTTTAGGACTATATAATTTATCACTGGTAATTTGCAAGTCAGACGTAAAAAATAGATAAATAGTATATAAACACAATTCAAAAAACTGAACCATCTTTTGGATTACATCAACAGCTATCGAACTTAATAATCGAGACATTTGTAAATATCTTCCACAAACTCTCAACACATTAAGCGTTGTATTTGTTACCATAGGACCGACATATGTAGGTTTTGGTTTTCTCTTCGATGCTCTTATATTATCTTTTCTACTAATAAATTCAATTTTAAACTCTTCATCAAGATCATCATCAGACTCTTCCGAAATATAATCACATTCTTCATCATTGAGATTCGCAAGTATATCTTCATCTATTGTTTCATCAAGACCGATGTCGAAAGGTGACATATCATTTTCAAGATATTTTTGAAGCCATCCACTGTTGGTTGTAGAATTTTCTTGAACAGATACATTCAAGTCTTCTATGCTATTCCAGCTTTTACAATTCACCAACGCTGGTCGTAGACTCTTGAATTCTTGTAACTGAGTCGCAACAAACGTTGATTTCACTGGACATAATTCCCAGCCATCATGTTCAAGAAATATCCGTAATTCATCCAGACGTGAAGCATGATAATGAAAGAAATATCGGGAGCATTGTTCTTTCATCGATTTCTGAAGGTTTTCTGATTTACTATCACACAATTCTTTTCCTACTTCCGTTAACCTAAAATTAGTTAATAATTATTTAATTTTCAATAAAAAAAAACAACAATTATTTATTTAATGTTCTCGTGAGAAATTTTGACGTTTTTTTAACTTATTAAATTAATTACAAAGTAAAAGTTAATTTACTTACCTATTGATTGTCCCCAAAATTTGAACGAAATGTTCAAATTTGTAAGTAGTGATATCCGCACTGATTAATAACATTGATACTTTAATTTCAACATCGTGCCATATTCTTGCCATGCCTGTTTCTAATTTTTGTTTTACGTATTGCTGGCTAAAAAGACCATCTGATTCTTTATCATTGTTGATCTCAACTATATGCTTCGAATTAGTATTGTGCCAACTTAATACTTGATAGTACGAATATATTATTTTCCATAATGCCTTGCTAAGGTCAATCAGACAATTGATTAAATTTTGCTGTGATATTGATTGACATAATTGTTTATATTGCCGTTTCATATCACCACCAGCATAAGAATGAACAACTGCAAAAGCAGTACTGTGAATTGTTGCTGTAAAATGCATGTGCAGTTGATCTATGGCTATTTGAGTTTTTCCTAAAAGTTTATAGGCTTGATGAATAGAACAATAAGTTTTTTCATTAAATTGTTGGCATATTCTTGATAATGTAACATCTAATGTTTCTTCGGCTTGTTCTAGAGTATCTTGAAGTTTTCCATTTAAAGCTGCTACGCAACGAAAGTGTTTGTAAGTTTGTGCTACACTTTGGCATTCAAGGAGAAGAGAAATAGCTCCTGGATAATTTTCTTCTGCTAAAAGCTCTTGGAGACGATCTTCAGTTCGTTGCTACAAATATATTTATTTATATTCAAACTAATACTTTGTCGTTAATATGACAAAATAAAAAATTAATAAATGTATTAGACTCACCAAAGTTTTTATGGTATTGAGACTATGTAAAAGCTTTTGAACAGTTTGTCTCTTTTTGTAATTAGCAAGAATACCAAGACTTGCTGTAGTAAATTGTAGTTTGGCAGAATTAAGATTTTTCCTTCCAGTTTGGCAAACTTCAAGTAAACTTTTTAATTGATCTTGAATTTTAAGAATTTCACTGAATTCTTGGTTACATGTAGTTTGTTTCTGTAGTATCAGTTGGAGAACTTTTTTAGATATAACTTGTTGCTGTTGTTTTAGTTTTTTACTATATTTCTCGATATTTTTACAGTTAAGATCTTGAGAAAACTTAGTCAATACATGTCTACATGAATCAAAATTTCCGTCTGCTTCAAAATAAACTTGTTCAACTGACTCGAGAATATCTTCATCGGGTATTGTTTCACTATCTATGGAATGACTATGCTCCGATTGGTTTTCATCACGCTTACAATGCTCGTCAGGATTTAAAAGCTCAGGATTCAAGCCCATTGATGGAATCCTCGATTGGTTCTGTGATAAAAAATTGATATGTCTTACAAAAATATTTCTCTCAAATAAAAATGTAAATTCAAAAATTAATCAACGATAGACTATTGCAAACCTGCTTATTAATAAGTTCCAAAAATTTGATTTTTAAATCCTCCATTGCAATAATATTTGAATAATCGCTAATCACACATTTTCGAAATCAATTGACTCAGTAAGAATTATTATTCTTTTTATTCAACTTTTGCTGAGAATTAAATGATATATATTACACATATTGTCATGTACATTGACATTAATATTTTTGTTATTTCGATGAATGTTATACGAGCTAGAAAGTTACATTTTATTATTTATAACAAAATAAATACTGCAATTAATTTATTCCCATAACATTTGAATGATTAATAATAGGTTAAGATCAGTAAGGAATGTGTATTACAAAAGTTCTTGATTTGCCATCACTGATATGACGTTTCGCCCCTCGAAACGTAAATACTAAAGCTATGTTTTCATGGACTTTATAAGGTCAATATTGTGAAGAATCTCAACAGATGTTGCTACTTCAAAGTTCCGAATCATTCATGAAATCGAAAACTTTAAAAAATTCAATAGGTGCCGTTCCGGGATTATTCTACAATTCTTCAAATTTTCGCAAAGAAAGTCATTTTCGACTACAATTTCGAACCCCCCATGAAATGACACGGTAAAAGATAGCGCAAAACGATGACACCAACAGAATTCCTGGATTGTCGATAGTTATTTCTTTCTTTTAAAAAAATGCTCATATCTCGGAAACGGTAAGAGATAGCTCAAAAATAACGAAATTTTCAGGGGGGTATCCTATGGGGGGTTGGTACTTTCAGTCTTCTACACGATGACACCAACAGAATTCCTGGATTGTCCATAGTTATTTCTTCTTTTAAAAAAATGCTCATATCTCGGAAACGGTAAGAGATAGCTCAAAAATAACGAAATTTTCAGGGGGTATCCTATGGGGGGTTGGAACTTTCAGTCTTCTACACGATGACACCACGAAAATTCCTGGATTGTCCATAGTTATTTCTTTCTTTTAAAAAAATGCTCATATCTCGGAAACGGTAAGAGATAGCTCAAAAATAACGAAATTTTCAGGGGGGTATCCTATGGGGGGTTGGTACTTTCAGTCTTCTACACGATGACACCAACAGAATTCCTGGATTGTCCATAGTTATTTCTTTCTTTTAAAAAAATGCTCATATCTCGGAAACGGTAAGAGATAGCTCAAAAATAACGAAATTTTCAGGGGGGTATCCTATGGGGGGTTGGTACTTTCAGTCTTCTACACGATGACACCAACAGAATTCCTGGATTGTCCATAGTTATTTCTTTCTTTTAAAAAAATGCTCATATCTCGGAAACGGTAAGAGATAGCTCAAAAATAACGAAATTTTCAGGGGGGTATCCTATGGGGGGTTGGTACTTTCAGTCTTCTACACGATGACACCAACGAAAATTCCTGGATTGTCCATAGTTATTTCTTTCTTTTAAAAAAATGCTCATATCTCGGAAACGGTAAGAGATAGCTCAAAAATAACGAAATTTTCAGGGGGGTATCCTATGGGGGGTTGGTACTTTCAGTCTTCTACACGATGACACCAACAGAATTCCTGGATTGTCCATAGTTATTTCTATCTTTTAAAAAATGCTCATATCTCGGAAACGGTAAGAGATAGCTCAAAAATAACGAAATTTTCAGGGGGGTATCCTATGGGGGGGTTGTACTTTCAGTCTTCTACACGATGACACCAACAGAATTCCTGGATTGTCCATAGTTATTTCTTTCTTTTAAAAAAATGCTCATATCTCGGAAACGGTAAGAGATAGCTCAAAAATAACGAAATTTTCAGGGGGTATCCTATGGGGGGTTGTTACTCTCAGTCTTCTACACGATGACACCAACAGAATTCCTGGATTGTCTATAGTTATTTCTTTCTTTTAAAAAATGCTCATATCTCGGAAACGGTAAGAGATAGCTCAAAAATAACGAAATTTTCAGGGGGGTATCCTATGGGGGGTTGGTACTTTCAGTCTTCTACACGATGACACCAACAGAATTCCTGGATTGTCCATAGTTATTTCTTTCTTTTAAAAAAATGCTCATATCTCGGAAACGGTAAGAGATAGCTCAAAAATAACGAAATTTTCAGGGGGGTATCCTATGGGGGGTTGGTACTTTCAGTCTTCTACACGATGACACCAACAGAATTCCTGGATTGTCCATAGTTATTTCTTTCTTTTAAAAAAATGCTCATATCTCGGAAACGGTAAGAGATAGCTCAAAAATAACGAAATTTTCAGGGGGTATCCTATGGGGGGTTGGTACTTTCAGTCTTCTACACGATGACACCACGAAAATTCCTGGATTGTCCATAGTTATTTCTTTCTTTTAAAAAAATGCTCATATCTCGGAAACGGTAAGAGATAGCTCAAAAATAACGAAATTTTCAGGGGGGTATCCTATGGGGGGTTGGTACTTTCAGTCTTCTACACGATGACACCACGAAAATTCCTGGATTGTCCATAGTTATTTCTTTCTTTTAAAAAAATGCTCATATCTCGGAAACGGTAAGAGATAGCTCAAAAATAACGAAATTTTCAGGGGGGTATCCTATGGGGGGTTGGTACTTTCAGTCTTCTACACGATGACACCAACGAAAATTCCTGGATTGTCCATAGTTATTTCTTTCTTTTAAAAAAATGCTCATATCTCGGAAACGGTAAGAGATAGCTCAAAAATAACGAAATTTTCAGGGGGGTATCCTATGGGGGGTTGGTACTTTCAGTCTTCTACACGATGACACCAACAGAATTCCTGGATTGTCTATAGTTATTTCTTTCTTTTAAAAAATGCTCATATCTCGGAAACGGTAAGAGATAGCTCAAAAATAACGAAATTTTCAGGGGGGTATCCTATGGGGGGTTGGTACTTTCAGTCTTCTACACGATGACACCAACAGAATTCCTGGATTGTCCATAGTTATTTCTTTCTTTTAAAAAAATGCTCATATCTCGGAAACGGTAAGAGATAGCTCAAAAATAACGAAATTTTCAGGGGGGTATCCTATGGGGGGTTGTTACTTCAGTCTTCTACACGATGACACCAACAGAATTCCTGGATTGTCCATAGTTATTTCTTTCTTTTAAAAAAATGCTCATATCTCGGAAACGGTAAGAGATAGCTCAAAAATAACGAAATTTTCAGGGGGGTATCCTATGGGGGGTTGGTACTTTCAGTCTTCTACACGATGACACCAACAGAATTCCTGGATTGTCCATAGTTATTTCTTTCTTTTAAAAAATGCTCATATCTCGGAAACGGTAAGAGATAGCTCAAAAATAACGAAATTTTCAGGGGGGTATCCTATGGGGGGTTGGTACTTTCAGTCTTCTACACGATGACACCAACAGAATTCCTGGATTGTCCATAGTTATTTCTTTCTTTTAAAAAAATGCTCATATCTCGGAAACGGTAAGAGATAGCTCAAAAATAACGAAATTTTCAGGGGGTATCCTATGGGGGGTTGTTACTATCAGTCTTCTACACGATGACACCAACAGAATTCCTGGATTGTCCATAGTTATTTCTTTCTTTTAAAAAAATGCTCATATCTCGGAAACGGTAAGAGATAGCTCAAAAATAACGAAATTTTCAGGGGGGTATCCTATGGGGGGGTTGGTACTTTCAGTCTTCTACACGATGACACCACGAAAATTCCTGGATTGTCCATAGTTATTTCTTTCTTTTAAAAAAATGCTCATATCTCGGAAACGGTAAGAGATAGCTCAAAAATAACGAAATTTTCAGGGGGGTATCCTATGGGGGGTTGGTACTTTCAGTCTTCTACACGATGACACCACGAAAATTCCTGGATTGTCCATAGTTATTTCTTTCTTTTAAAAAAATGCTCATATCTCGGAAACGGTAAGAGATAGCTCAAAAATAACGAAATTTTCAGGGGGGTATCCTATGGGGGGGTTGGTACTTTCAGTCTTCTACACGATGACACCACAGAAATTCCTGGATTGTCCATAGTTATTTCTTTCTTTTAAAAAAATGCTCATATCTCGGAAACGGTAAGAGATAGCTCAAAAATAACGAAATTTTCAGGGGGTATCCTATGGGGGGTTGGTACTTTCAGTCTTCTACACGATGACACCAACAGAATTCCTGGATTGTCCATAGTTATTTCTTTCTTTTAAAAAAATGCTCATATCTCGGAAACGGTAAGAGATAGCTCAAAAATAACGAAATTTTCAGGGGGTATCCTATGGGGGGTTGGTACTTTCAGTCTTCTACACGATGACACCAACAGAATTCCTGGATTGTCCATAGTTATTTCTTTCTTTTAAAAAATGCTCATATCTCGGAAACGGTAAGAGATAGCTCAAAAATAACGAAATTTTCAGGGGGTATCCTATGGGGGGTTGGTACTTTCAGTCTTCTACACGATGACACCAACAGAATTCCTGGATTGTCCATAGTTATTTCTTTCTTTTAAAAAATGCTCATATCTCGGAAACGGTAAGAGATAGCTCAAAAATAACGAAATTTTCAGGGGGGTATCCTATGGGGGGTTGGTACTTTCAGTCTTCTACACGATGACACCAACAGAATTCCTGGATTGTCCATAGTTATTTCTTTCTTTTAAAAAAATGCTCATATCTCGGAAACGGTAAGAGATAGCTCAAAAATAACGAAATTTTCAGGGGGGTATCCTATGGGGGGGTTGGTACTTTCAGTCTTCTACACGATGACACCAACAGAATTCCTGGATTGTCCATAGTTATTTCTTTCTTTTAAAAAAATGCTCATATCTCGGAAACGGTAAGAGATAGCTCAAAAATAACGAAATTTTCAGGGGGGTATCCTATGGGGGGGTTGGTACTTTCAGTCTTCTACACGATGACACCAACAGAAATTCCTGGATTGTCCATAGTTATTTCTTTCTTTTAAAAAAATGCTCATATCTCGGAAACGGTAAGAGATAGCTCAAAAATAACGAAATTTTCGGGGGGTATCCTATGGGGGGTTGGTACTTTCAGTCTTCTACACGATGACACCAACAGAATTCCTGGATTGTCCATAGTTATTTCTTTCTTTTAAAAAAATGCTCATATCTCGGAAACGGTAAGAGATAGCTCAAAAATAACGAAATTTTCAGGGGGTATCCTATGGGGGGTTGGTACTTTCAGTCTTCTACACGATGACACCACGAAAATTCCTGGATTGTCCATAGTTATTTCTTTCTTTTAAAAAAATGCTCATATCTCGGAAACGGTAAGAGATAGCTCAAAAATAACGAAATTTTCAGGGGGTATCCTATGGGGGGTTGGTACTTTCAGTCTTCTACACGATGACACCAACAGAATTCCTGGATTGTCCATAGTTATTTCTTTCTTTTAAAAAATGCTCATATCTCGGAAACGG